ATCTGGTCCTTTGTTGGATACTCGAATGCCAACTATGTAAGGACATGAACATAGGACTTGCGTCTGATCGGATTGCTAATTATATTCACAGGCCTTGAGCGAGACCAAGAACCCAGCCCGCACGCTGAAGATTGCAGCCCCCGTTGCTATCATTGCTGTTGGCGTGATGTATATGCTTGTCAACATCGCCTATTTCGCCGCTGTATCGAAAGAAGAAATGCTCGAGTCTGGCAGCATTGTGGCCGCCGTGTTCTTCAGAAACATGTTCGGCGGACAGGCCGAAAAAGTCATGTCCGTCTTTGTGGCTCTCTCTGCATTTGGAAATGTGTTATCCGTCATCTTCTCACAAGGGCGCAGTATGTATTCTCACCTACATGTTTGAAAACTATACTAATCAGAATTTCGAACAGTTGTTCAAGAGCTCGGACGTGAAGGTGTCTTGCCCCTTTCCAAGATCTGGGCTAGCAACTGGCCTTTCCACTCGCCGGCCGCTGGCTTGCTTGAGCACTATCTCGTCTCTGTCGTTATCCTGCTCGCCCCCCCTCCCGGTGACGCATACAACTTCCTCGTCAAGTATGTGATTTCCAAAGACACCCACAAGATCATTACTGACAAATTGTCCCAGTCTCATTTCTTACCCCCCTCGCAATTGTCAACTTCTTCGTGGCCGCTGGCCTCGTTCATATCTACCTCACCAAAGAGAAAAACTACCCGAACTGGAAGCCCGGAGTCCGTGCCACGCTACCCGTCACCATCTTCTTCATGTTGTCCAACCTGTACCTCGCGGTGGCACCATATGTGCCGCCCAGCGATGGCCAGAATGTGTACGAAGAGCTACCGTACTACCTGCACTGTGTGGTAGCCCTGGCGCTTTTCGCAGCCGGAGGAATCTACTACGTTGTCTGGGCGATATTGATGCCTCGGATTGGCGGGTATGTGCTTGTCAAGGAGTCTGTCGTGGATGCCGATGGATGGTCTCGCAGTGCGTTTACGAAACTGCCACAGGCCCAGGCAGTGCATTCTTAAGAGATATTGGCTGTGATATAATAATAATAATAATAATCGGATTTGCTTGATTTCGGATTGTTTATGTACTGATAGATTTTGTCATGGTGACTTGGAAGCAATTTCCACCAGACACTACTAGTAATAGGTAATAGCGGAATTAGAATAGAACCGTTCCTTACTGAAGAGCCCTCATTACCAACTGCCCTGTCATGCTGTGACATCAGAGCAATGAACCGCGGTGCTGTATGTTCCAGTCTTCTATGGTAGCCCACCCAAGAGAATCGATTGAAACTGTCATGAGCCCCTCAAACTTGCTGGTATATTGTCTTGCAAGATAACAGCATAAGAGCCATTGCCAATCAGTTGTCTGTCATATAGAATTTAGACATCCACTGGGTGAACTTGCGTGTTGAAGAAAAGAAAAGAGGAAGAAGAAAAAAAGGACGAAAAGTAGGAGATCCTCTGGCATTCACCGCCTTCCCATCTGCCGGACTCTGATCTCATGTTTTTCCTTCCTGACCGTTGCTGTCGAGTCCGTGGTTCAATTGTTCTCGCATTTGGTTCTATTTAATTATTTAATACTAATACCTTTTTTTATTTTCCTTTCTTCTTTTTTCTTTCCTTTTTCTCCCGGTATTCGGGTTCGTGGAGCTGATGCGCCGCTTCTCCACGCGTGTGCTTCTGCAGCAAGCAAAGCCACCGCTTCTTTCCGCCAGAGCCCCCCTCCCCCTCTTTGTTTCCGCTCGCTCTCCTCAAGCTTCAGTTCCTAGGTCAATTACCCAACGCCGCTCACCTTCTCCGCTATCACAGACCTCCAAACGATACTGTTCCTACCGCAGGATGTGTAGCTCACGCCGCGACACCTCCGGGTCAACCAACGTCCAGGGCCGTGAGGTCCTACCTACAAACGTCAAGCCCCAGCATTATGATTTGACACTGGAGCCCAACTTCGAGAAGTTCACATATGATGGAACAGTCACCATCGAGTACGTCATTTATGTATAGTGTATAGTTGTGTGTCAGTCACTAACATCTGCATCTAGCCTCGATGTGACCGAAGACACCGATTTCATCACCCTCAATTCCAACGAGATCGAAATTCACAGCGCAATTGTCTCAGCTAAGGGCTCGGTTGTGGACTCCAAGCCCGAAATCTCCCTCAAGAAAGATGACCAGACCGCAACCATCAAGTTCGGCCAGGCTATCGCCGCGGGGTCGGATGCCCAGTTGAAGCTCACCTTCACCGGTATTCTCAATGATAACATGGCCGGATTCTACCGATCATCATACAAGGAGAATGGCGAGACCAAGTACATTGCATCATCTCAGATGGAGCCCACGGATGCCCGTCGGGCCTTCCCTTGTTTCGACGAGCCTGCTCTCAAGGCCAAGTTCACTGTGACCTTGGTTGCGGATAAAAGCATGACCTGTTTGAGCAATATGGATGTTGATACTGAGACTGAAATCCAGGGTGGCGCGAAGAAGGCTGTGAAATTCACCACTTCGCCCCTCATGTCCACCTATCTCGTCGCTTTCATTGTCGGAAACCTCAACTACATCGAGACAAAGAACTTCCGGGTTCCCATCCGTGTGTATGCCACACCTGACCAGGATATCGAGCACGGCCGTTTCTCCTTGGAGCTTGCTGCCAAGACTCTGGCCTTTTACGAGAAAGCCTTTGACAGTGATTTCCCTCTGCCAAAGATGGACATGGTCGCCGTGCCTGATTTCAGCGCCGGAGCCATGGAGAACTGGGGTCTGATCACATACCGTATCGTCGATGTGTTGCTGGACGAGAAGAACAGTGGAGCGTCTCGAAAGGAACGCATCGCCGAGACCGTCCAGCACGAGTTGGCCCACCAGTGGTTCGGAAACCTGGTCACCATGGACTTCTGGGATGGACTGTGGCTCAACGAGGGTTTCGCTACCTGGATGTCGTGGTACTCTTGCAACGTCTTCTACCCCGAGTGGAAGGTTTGGCAGACTTACGTTATCGACAACTTGCAGAGTGCTCTTTCGCTCGACTCGCTTCGCAGCAGCCACCCCATTGAGGTGCCTGTCAAGCGTGCCGATGAGATCAACCAGATCTTCGATGCTATCTCCTACTCCAAGGGTTCATCTGTCCTGCGTATGATCTCCAAGTACCTGGGCGAAGATGTCTTCCTCCAGGGTGTCCGCAACTACATCAAGAAGCACGCCTATGGTAACACAGAGACCGGTGACCTGTGGGCTGCTCTTGCTGATGCTAGCGGAAAGCCCGTGCAGTCGGTCATGGATATCTGGACCAAGAACGTCGGCTTCCCTGTCATCAGTGTCACGGAGAACAAGGAGAGCTCTTCCATCCACGTGAAGCAGAACCGTTTCCTGCGTACCGGCGACGTTCGTCCCGAAGAAGACCAGACCCTCTTCCCTGTCATGCTGGGTCTGCGCACGGAGAAGGGCATTGATGAAGACACTATGCTGACTGAGCGCGAGCGCGACTTCCCCATTCCTGACCTGGACTTCTTCAAGCTGAACGCTGACCACTCTGCCATCTTCCGCACCTCATACAGCCCTGAGCGTCTTAAGAAGCTCGGCCAGGCTGCTCGTGACGGCCGCCTGAGTGTCGAGGACCGTGCCGGCATGATTGCCGACTCCGGTGCCCTGGCAGCTTCTGGTTACCAGCGCACCTCTGGCATGCTTTCCTTGCTTCAGGGCCTGGACACCGAGTCAGAGTTCGTCGTTTGGAACGAGATCCTGACCCGTATCGGCACCCTGCGCGCTGCCTGGCTCTTTGAGGACGACAAGACAAAGGACGCTCTCAAGGCCTTCCAGCGCGCGCTGGTTGCCCCTAAGGCCCACGAGATTGGCTGGGAGTTCCCCGAGAACGACGACCACATTCTGCAACAGTTCAAGGCCCTCATGTTCGGCTCTGCCGGTATGGCCGAGGACCCGGTTGTCGTCAAGGCTGCCTTGGACATGTTCGCCCGCTTCTCTGCCGGTGACCTCTCCGCCATCCACCCCAACATCCGCGGTAGTGTCTTCACCATTGCTCTGAAGCACGGTGGTCTCAAGGAGTACGAAGTAGTCCTGGACCGCTCCCGCCACGCCCCGACTTCTGACGAGAAGACCACCGCCCTGCGCTGCCTCGGTGCCTCTGAGGACCCCGAGCTTATCAAGCGCACTCTTGGTCTCGCCATGAGCGAGGAGGTCAAGAGCCAGGATATTTATATGCCTCTTGGCGGTCTCCGTAGCCACCCGGCTGGTATCGAGGGCCGCTGGAACTGGCTGAAGTCTAACTGGGATGAACTTTACAAGCGTCTTCCTCCCGGTCTCGGCATGCTTGGTACTGTTGTCCAGCTGACCACTGCCAGTTTCTGCACCGAGGCGCAGTTGAAGGACGTTGAGGACTTCTTCGCCTCTAAGGACACTAAGGTTAGTAATCTCACCAAGGGCCTCAACGAGGTTTCGCCTAAGCTCCATATTTTGTAATATATACTAATTCGAATCTTACAGGGCTTCGACCGTGCCGTTGAGCAGAGCCTGGACGCCATCCGCGCCAAGATCAACTGGCTCAAGCGTGACCGCGACGATGTTGAGCAGTGGCTGAGCAGCAACAGCTATCTCCAGAGCAAGCTGTAAATCTAGAGAATTCCTCAAGTGGCTGAACAATGTTCATAGGTCTCTTGGATACACCGGGGATTCTTTGTTTCGGAGCTTGCAGCTCGAACTTTTCTTCGACTGCACATTATTACTATGTTGTCATCTATCGAAAGCACGCGGGATGTGCTTTGAGCTGAAATTATATTCTACTCAATTATTTCTCTTGTAGAGCGAGTGCTTTTGTATAGATCAGGACTGGGTAGAATTAGTAAGGATAAGGTAGGGGATAGGGGACTTCTGAGAAACTGTGCTCAGTTGCTTCTTGATGGATTTAAGTAAATTGACAGGAAATCGACCGCTTCTATGTACAATGATTGAATCAAGATGAAAAATGTCTTGCCTAGCACGGCCTACGCCCACCCTCCCTTGCCTCCGAACCCAGAACTGTCCTCGATCTTCTTCCCGCCAGGACCGCGCGAGGGTTTGGACTGCGCCGCTTCGTGCTTGCGCAGTTCCTCGGGAACACGCGAGATTGGTGATTTGATCAGCATTTGTTTGAGATCGTACCTGCAGAAACATTAGTAAATGAAAACAAAGTGAAAAAGGGAAAGGAATGAGTGTAACATACATAACATCGCTATCTTCGCTGCCCAGGAATGTGATAGCAACACCACTCTTTCCGGCACGACCAGTACGACCGATACGGTGAGTGTAGCTTTCGATCGAGGTGGCCATGTTGAAGTTAACGACCAACGACACATCCGGCACATCGATACCTCTTCCTGCGAGGTCGGTTGCGACGAGAACGTCTGTCGAGCCGTTGCGCACGGAGGCGAGCGCGGCTTCACGCTGGTCTTGGGTTTTGGATCCGTGGAGAGTAACCGAGGAGAAGCCCATTTGTTTGATTTCGCGAGCGATAGCGTCACAGTTTCGCTTGATGTTGACGAACACGATAATCGGGGACGGAAGTCTCCCGAGGAGAGGATTTCTGCGAGGCGCTTCTTGCGTTTGTCTTCGCCAGAGATCATCTCTACACGCTGCTCAACTGTGTCGACAGCTTCGCCGACGCCACCGATCGTGATAATGGCTGGTCGACGGAGGTACTTGCGAGCAATACGCTCGACTGCTGCAGGCATAGTGGCTGTGTACATCATAGTCTGGCGGTACTGGTGTTGGCTCATCGCCATTGAATTCTCGGCTTCCTCTGTATCGGGCTTTTCGTTCGTGACGGGGAGGGCGTCCAGGATCTTGTTGACAGGCTCTTCGAATCCAAGATCAATCATACGATCTGCTTCGTCCATAATCACGTAGCAACACTGGCTGAGCACTAGCATGCGACGCTCGATACAATCGACCAGACGACCAGGGGTGGCAATAATGATTTCGGCGCCATTGCGCAGGCTAAATGCTTGCTCTTCAAGCGAGTGGCCACCGACAATACTGACCACGTTAAATCCAAGGGGTTGTGTAAATTTTTTAGCTTCGATCTCGATCTGCTGCGCCAATTCACGTGTGGGTGCTAGAACAATAGCGTATGGTCCTTCGTTTTTGCGCCACTCATTCTCGTCAAGCCGCGGTAACGCCGAGATGTAGACCAAAAGTGGGAGTAGGAATGCAGCGGTTTTACCGGAACCTGTCACGGCAACACCGATCAGATCACGCGACTGCATGGCGATGGGGATTGCCGCGCGCTGAATAGCCGTTGGGTCCTTATACCCGACTCGTTCAACAAGCTCCAGCAAACGCTTCGGCAATGAACTCTCTTCCCAAGAACGCATGGGATTAGGTACACTGCCGCCTTTGGTGGCAATGTTGAAATCTTCCTTGAAGATACGCCAGTCCCGCTCGCGCATGAGGTCCAAGCGCTTCTCGCTCCAATGCTTGTCAATTTGTGTGCGCTTACTCTCCTCGCGACGCCGGCGTTCCATCTCCAGCATTTGTTGGGCTCGCGCGTTACCAGCTTCGTGATCGCGGGACGCCAGTGCCTCTGCGTATTTGCGTGCGACATCATCGGCGACATCATCGCCGAAGCCTGCCAAACGTCCTCGGCCAAAGAAGTTGGCTTCCTGTCGGCGCTGGTATAGGGGGGTTATAGTCGCCACTTGTGTCTTCCTCGACATTCCACTCGAAATTGAATTTTCGGTCTGCGGTACGCTTGCGCTTCTTTTTTGCCGAGAAGTTAGATGTCTGGTCGGCTCCCATGTATCGGTGCTTGGTCAATGCTGCTAGCGCTGCCGCTTCGTCTTCTTCGGTTAGACGCTTTTCGCCTTTAGTCTTAGATTGGGGTGGCGGCATATCCTGGTCGCGATAGCGTTGATTGGGCTGTCGGCCTCCCTTCCGCATACCACCAGGTCCAGTTGCAGGGTCGTCGCGCATCGCTCGGGGCCCGGTGGGTACATGACGGACCACTGATTCCTCCCGGATATTGGGTCTCACCGACGATGCTGCAGATGCGAGACCGTTGCCGTTGGTGCGGGCCTTGGCTTGTCGCTCTGCCTCAACCTCTTGCGCCCGTTTCTCCAGCGCAAGCTTCTCTCGTTGAGCTTTAGACAAAAATTTAGGCTGTAGGAATATTTAAATGTTAGTAAAAGTCACCGAACCTTGTGTCAAGTATTTCACCATTCCCGGAGGATAAGCTCTTACCTTTGATGTCGCCGCATCTGCTTCTTTCTTCTTCCGTATCAGCTCCTCAACACTCAGTGGAGTGACAGAAGGTTTCTTCGCGCCCCATCCTAGCTTCTGCTTCTTCTGGCTCTCAACTGGGGGCGGGGGTGGCACATCGTCGGGGAGGAGGTGGAGGGGCGATACTGTCCGGCGGCGGCGGAGGAGCGGCCAATTCTTCTGGAGGAGGCGGAGGCGGGCTGGGCGGGCGCTCCACAGGATCTGGAGGAGGGAGCGGAGGCAATCCTTCAGGGCCGTTGGTCATGACTTGCGTAGGTGGAAGAAACGATGGCTAAATAGACCACTAGACTAGAGACGAGAAGGGAGTGATATTGAATTTCTACGGAATATGATAAGAGCCAGGACGCGTAGTCACGTGAATAGGATCACGTGTAGATATCTATCCACTATCCACTATCTTATCTACCTGCATGTGATCACGGCTAATAATAATCGGGGCCCGCTGTCCAGGTGTAGCGGAACTGGACCTATGTGATTACATTAGGCCACAGGGTTTCTACATATGCTACCACAGTATATTGGTTGTGTGTGAGTCTAATAAGGCTTCCACACTCGCGGGTGAATCAATTTCAGACAATATGAATTAATTTCCTGTGGAAAAACAACCCACAGTAGAATACAATTGGTCCCGAAGGATCCAATCTCGAGTTGGCCACAAGCCTGCGTCAAGCCCCAAGAGGTAACTAGACACCAGTACATCTGACAAAAGTGAGAAGAAGCTGTCTTTAAGCCGAGTTAAGATCACTAGACAACAGGGGGGGGGGGGATTGTTGCCCAGCACGGGCAACGGGGATGATACTACACGAAAAAGGAACTCACCCACCCAGGTGAATCAATATGCCAGGGTAAGTAACGAAGATAAAACACCGAAAGAAAGGGCACCAGCAAAACATCCAGAAACGAACCCATTCGTGAACAAACATATCCATACTTGCAATCATTGGCTTTGGGGGATGTGCACAAGACTCTCGGGTCTTAAGCGGCTGTACCGTTCGCTGCCGTCTGTTGGTAGTACGCGTATGCAGCGGCCTCATCCGGTGTGGGCTGCATGTGAGGAATTGAAGCGAATTGTCCGCCGGCAGTGGTGGGTTGCACCGGCACATTTCCGCCAGTCCGAGCGGAAGCCACAGATGAAGGACCATAGATTTCATGATCCAGGGTCATGTATTCCTTCGCAGTGTCCTTGCCCCTTTCGAGAAGGTATGTCATGTAAATTTGCACGAGTTCCTTGACAGCGTCGACTTGCAGAACGCTCTTGGACCGGATGTCAGTAATGACCTGCTTGATGCGTTCATACTGAACCGACTCGGTCGCCTCGCTGGTGGGTTGCTCAATTTCGAAGACGAGATAGCTGCACCAGAAGGGTCGGCTGTCGAGGTAGTAACGCTGATTCTCGTGGAAAACCGTGCGAGCCTCGTCAGGGCTGCCCTTGATCTTCCACAAAAGGCGGGCCCACTCGGCAACGAGAGCAGCCTTCGTGGCCATTTCGCACTCTGGTGAATCCAACTGTGTTTTGTAGATTTCAATGGCCGCATCCAGACCTCCGTGGCGACGACACAGATTGGCGAGTGAGATAATCGTCTCGACATGGCTGGGGAGACACATGAGGATCGCATTGTGGATATCCTTTGCCACGTCCACGCGGCCTGACACCTCCTCGAAATAGGCATAGTGAAGTCGGATAGTGGGATTGCCAATCGGGACGTAGAGATACGACGCACGCTGATATATGATCCGCACATCTTCTTCCTTGTTAGGCTGAGCAGCCATCCAACGAGCATATCGGAACCAGAACTCGTCATAATAGGCACAAGTGACCAGGCACCGCTCATACAGGAACTGAGTTCGAGAGAATGAACCCTCGGCTTCCTCAAAGTCAAGATACTTCTTCCAGTTCACCAACTGGGCTTCATCGAGTTCCGTAACATGGAAGTACGGACGCTTGATCTCCGCTTCGAAAGTCCAGCGTTTGGTCGTCTCAGTCTGAGTGTTCGTGAAGATCTCCAGGTGGTAACTGTCCACGCGAAGTCGGAGATCGCGCTCGATCTCCGCTTCAGCCTTGGGGCCAGGAGCCGGCTGGGATGACGCAGCTTCGATTTCGGCGCGGAAAGCGGCGAGGACCTCGGCCGGGGCGAGCTCGGACACAGGGCGAGTCTGCGCGAGCTGCCGGTACCGCTCGAAGTAGCGAGCATACTGGTGCACGGGGATGTGGATGACACGTGCAAGAATGGCGAAAATCTTATCGTGGGCCTCAATCCGCTCCTCGAACTCAATGTACTTATCCCAGAAGGGATGGGAGAGGAAATCAAGACCAACACTGTTCGCACCCCGTTCGAAAAGACTGGTGCGTACTTCAGTTAGCATGTTGCGGACACAAGGGCCTGATGGGTGGGATAGGAGTGGTAAGAGACAGGAATAAGACAATTAAGATAGCAATCACGAGCAGTAAACTCTGTCCGTTTGTGAAAACCCAAGTAATCAAATGAGTGCGGTGGACGAAGCTAAGGGATAGGTGGGCAACCAGTGCTCCGTAAAGGGCCATCGAACGAGGCTATTCCTTGACCTTCAATGCATGGGCTGGTTTGGCCAATCAGAAGAAAAATTCAGCCTGAGTGAGATATGGGTGAGAAGTAAACTCCACTTGGATCAAGGAAGCAAAGTAGCGAGCGGTCTCTCACCCATCAACAACAAGACTGACTGGATATTGAAATATCCAGGAAACATGTGACCGTCACCACGAGAACTTTCGCGAACTGCGTCGGTAATGGTTATAGGGAAGGGAAGAAGACCATCTTTACTCTCACTTACTCTCGAATGATATGGGCCTCGTGCGTAGTGTCCGCCTTGAACGAACAATAGTTGGTCCATAGATCAACGGATGGCGAGATGCTAGCAATTCCTCGTTCATAGACCTATAGCGACAAGATTAGTAGAAAGCCATGGAAAAGAAGAGGCTGGTGCCCTAGGAGTGTGCATGCATACAATTTCAGCGGCCTCAGTGCCGGTGATAGAGAACTCTAGGTCGGCATACTTCTTCCAGTAGCCAAAGAGCAAAGGGAACTTAGCAAGGAAGCGGTCATAGGCTGCGCGCCAGGTTGTGATGGCCTGGGGGTTGGAATTGCGATTTATTCCACCCTCGAGGGCCTCCGCGGTACGAACCAGCTTCTCCCAGGTTTCGAAGTTGTCAGGATCATCTAGCTGTAAACACAAACACGTCAGTTGACGAGGGACACGTTCGTAAATGCGTGCGGAACACGTACCAGCTGAGCCTCGAGATTTCTAATCTCCGCATTCTCCTCTTCAGAGCCTCCGTACTGATAGTCGGACATGGTCGTCGCAGTGTTGAGGATGCGCACGAGAAGGTCAGACCCCGGAATAAAACAATATGGATGAAATTGCAGGTAGTAATAAGATAGCAGCGATGGTAACAATGAAGATTCTTAAGGGAAGAAATTCTTGGGGCTGAAACGAGACTGAAAAGCAAGCCGAAGTTAGGAAGTTCTGATTAGTGCCTGAGGCGAGCATCTGTGGCCCACCGCCGGGGATTCGAGGGCGGTGTAGCTGAAAGCGGTAATTGGAGGCGGTGGAGGCAATAGCCACCTGGGCAAGCTCAGGCTTAGGTAACGCACGGCAGAAATATTGTTGACACCTTGGAGGTAAGGCGCCAGAACTACTTGATGCCTTGTCGCCTGAAGTATAATGCCAATAGCTTGGCGTGAGCCCGGGCGGTATCAACTTTTTGACCCAGAACACTCGCAAGCAACATTGGAACCACCTGTGCATACTAGGATTACAACCCACCTTGATCCACCATGTCGGTTTCGAAGCAGACGGGTACACTGTTAGAAAACCTTCCTCAACGTTTGGTGAATTTCTTCGCTCGGTATCCTCCACAAACCCACTCCGCAGCTGTCCGTCGCCCTGCCCCTGCCAATGGAGAGGGCTACGTACCAACGAAGGTAGAATCCCCATACACACCAGATCGGGATGCCAAGGGTGCCCCAGGAGAGAAAAAGTATGGCTGGACTCCATCGCGTGCACTCCTCGTGACCAGCAAAGACGTCCGCAATCCATTTCTGCCGCACAAGCGATTCGGCAAATGGGAAGCCCCGAAATATGGGCTGCGCCAGCAGGCCGATCTGATGAAGCTTGCCATCAAATACAATGTGCAGGCGCTTCTTCCTCCTAGTCGCAAATCACCAGAATTCAAGGAGACACGGCGCGCAGAGCGTGGCTTGCAGATCAAGGGAACTGGTGTTGGCCATAAGGTGAAGGGTCATAAGTGGGAACGCACCATGGAGTCACGTCTCGAGGATCGTCGCAAAGCAATGGAGGGGATGCCGGAAATGGTCCGGTTGTGGAAGCAGGTTAGTACTCTATTGGTCCTTCCTGACGTGATTGGAGCTATGCTGACTCGGCGCAACAGAGAGGTCATGGCCGAGGCTGGAGACAATGGCCCAAGCGGTAAAGGGAACCCGCCATCACCCACCGTCGCATTGTCTTCTTTCGCTTCTTTATTTTGGCCAGTTTGTTCATTCTGGCTTTTCACTGCTCTGTCGATTCCAACGCAAACCAGATCGACACAAATACTTGTACGAGTCATAGCAGGAGCTTGGGACGGAGTTTTGTCTTTGAAGTATACTATCAACCCCATCTGTACAATACAATCTACGGTCACATCGCCCAATGGTGCCCAAGGAAATCATTTGCATGTATCTGACCGGTACTATCTCTCATCATCCTCAGCACCAATAAGAAATCTACTTGCTCCCGGCTAAACATGTTGAATACTACGATAAATTTTCAAGCGGGGCACAGGAAGCTACGGTGAGCTGAACCTAAGAAACATTAGTCAATAGTATACTCCACATGCACTCTATCGTGATGTGGAGCAGTTCAGCCTCAGTTCAGCCTCGGGAAACAATTTGGAATACTATAGTGGCTGTGTTCCAAGCCGTTTTGGCGCAGGGACGGTACTGACGTGCCTGTTGTACATCGTTGGCACTTGACTCGGATGCACTGACATGGATTGTTTAGTGTATTTCGCTGGCTACATGTTTCAGCCCAATGCATTATCAACGAAATCAGGCACACTTCTCCTATATGAATAGAATAAACACGGATTGGTAGGCCGACATTGTGATGAGCCTAAGGTAATGCTTTAGCTTTCGCAGGATCCTAGAAAACCATGCAGGTTGGGTTGCGCATTGTGCATCGGGGGCGGCTATTGGAACCTGAGAGATATAATCATAAAGAAGCGCCTTAAAGGCAAAATGGTTGGTTGGGAGTCTTTCGCAATCAACGTTATTGTGGACTATAATTGTCGGGATTTGATCATAGTTTCAATAGTACGTACAGATATACTCATGAGCGTGTCGGCTGAGGTAAATATATCTCCCCGATGACGAAACCTGTGACCGTAAAAGGTATAGTAAATCTGATAATATGCATGAAGTGCATGAGTATCACGATGTAGTGGAGTCCCGTGTATGGATCTAGATCGGCGTGTATATAGTGCCGTATGGTGCGTGCGAAAAGCCGATAACAATCGCTGTGGCGATGAGGCTCAACAATAAACCATCTATTGCCACGTCCGATGTATTGCGGGGTCACATGCGAGGGGAATCCCATCTCAAGACACTCTTCGTCACTTCACAGCACTCGAGAAGTTGAAAATAACCTATAAAAGCCAGCTGCCAGACCTTTGGAATGTGCTTTTTCTCCAAGCCTCCGATAGCCTATCCCTTTGGAGTGGACTGGAAATCACACCCGGGCTAGTTGATTTGTTGGTATCGGTAACCTCCGATGAGAATATAGCCATCTGCTGTCTTATATCTGGTAAGGCTCCCCCGCCTCTTTCTTCAAATCCATTTGATATTGCACAGTCACACAACTATACAGCCTATCTCTGGATCCCTCAAATATTCATTATGTGCTGATCGTGCTGCTAGACATATACAGAAGGTCCTACCTTTCACAATTTGCCACCTTATTTTCAAACAAAGTACAACATACTCTGGAGTGCATCTGTCCAAAGTTGAACTTTAACAATGGTGGAATCAACCTTTCAGGGGTCTACCCATCCCAAGTATAGTCAAGGTTACTCCGCCGATGTGGACATAATCCGAGAGCAAGAGTACCCTCTACTAAATGGTACGGGTGTCCATCTGCTACCACTCGATCCATGCTGACCACCGTTCTATAGGAACAACATACCTAGATTATGCGGGGACAACACCCTATGCGAAGTCCACGATCGAGTCTTTCTCGCGTGATCTTACATCTAATCTGTTTGGAAACCCTCATTCTATGTCTGTGTCGTCGCAACTTTCTACACAAAGAACAGAAGATATCCGAGTCCGCGTATTGCGATTCTTCAATGCGGACCCAGATGAGTTCGACCTTGTCTTTGTGGCAAATGCAACTGCTGGCATTAAGCTAGTTGCAGACTCACTTCGGGACTCCGACCATCGAGGATTTTGGTATGGCTACCACATTGATTCTCACACGAGTCTCGTCGGGGTACGGGAGTTGGCCGAGATGGGCTATCAGTGTTTCCAAAGCGATGATGAAATGGAGGCCGAGATTTCAAAGTTGGCTAGCAACCAGTCGAAGGCGCCCAGACTACTCGCATACCCGGCCCAGTCCAATATGAACGGCCGGCGTCTGCCTATTCAATGGTGCGAACAGGTCCGATCCGCCACAAAGGAGAGCGGAGGAAATGTGTACTCCTTGCTTGACGCCGCGTCGCTGGTATCAACTGCTCCACTTGACCTAGGCCCATCCTCGTCTGCTCCAGACTTCACTGTCCTCAGCTTCTACAAAATCTTTGGATTTCCCGATTTGGGTGCTTTGATTGTTCGCAAGAGTGCCGCACGGGTCTTTGAGCGACGGAAGTATTTTGGCGGAGGCACCGTCGACATGGTCCTGGCCACTGGGGTGCAATGGCATGCGAAAAAAGAAGCGTCTATCCATGAGCGGCTAGAGGACGGTACTCTTCCATTCCACAATATCATAGCTCTGGACACGGCCTTGGACACCCACGAGCGGTTGTTTGGTTCGATGGCGAACATATCGGCCCACACTGAGTTCCTCGCAAAGCAAGTCTATGATAGACTTTCTTCATTGGCACATTTCAACGAGAGAAAAGTCTGTCAAATTTATCAACCCCACACCTCTACGTATGGCGATTCACATACTCAAGGCCCCATTATTGCGTTCAATCTTTGCAATAGCCGCGGTGAATGGGTCCCGAAAACCGAGGTTGAAAAGCTGGCTACGGTGCAAGATCTGCAAATACGCACTGGGTCCGTTTGCAATCCAGGAGGAACTGCTTCGTCACTTGGGTGGACTGGACCCCAGCTTCGCCGGCATTACTCTGCGGGATTACGCTGTGGTGATAACCATGATGTTCTGGGTGGACGACCAACAGGAATTTTGCGTGTCAGTATCGGTGCGACGACAAATATGAAGGATATAGACTCCTTGTTAAACTTTGTCGAGGAGTTCTACGTGGAAAAGAGTCCACCTATAGTCGCCCTGGATCCTCTGACAGAAGACAATGAGGTCGTTGCCCCTCATTTCTATGTTGAAAGCCTAGCAGTGTTCCCAATCAAGAGTTGCGGTGCTTTCAAAATACCCGAGGGAAAGCGCTGGGAAGTGAAGAAAGAGGGACTTGCTTGGGACAGAGAATGGTGCTTGATTCATCAAGGGACTGGTGCAGCCCTGAATCAGAAAAGGTATGTTTTATCCAAACGAAGTATCCGAATTCTCAAATTAACCCTGGTAGATATCCTCGCATGTGTCTCATACGACCCTCGATTGAGATTGAAAGAGGAGTTCTCCGTATTACTTGTGGTGCAATCGCCGCACCAGATCAAGTCAGCCTTGAGATCTCGCTTGGCTGGGAGGACACAAGTCTCATCTCTACATCATTCTGTCCGAGCTCGTCGAAAAAGCCTACAACAGTCTGCGGTGACCGAGTTTCTCTCCACGCCTACACGTCCCCGGTAGTCTCGGCGTTCTTCTCAGACTTCCTGGGAGTGCCCTGTACTCTCGCACGGTTCCCTACACAGACAAGCAGTCGGTACTCACAAATGCAACGGACGCCGAATACGTGGAAGAACCGCTTCCGCAAGCTGATCATGCCAGGCTCATTCCCACCGGACTTACCTCCCCCAGTACGTGAGGGTGGCCAGACACAAATCACGTTATCCAACGAGTCGCCAATTCTAATAGTCTCACGATCATCTGTCAACCGACTGAATGAGACCATTAAGGCAAACAGCAAAAATGGCAGCAGTAAGACCGTTGCCGCAGACGTCTTCCGCGGTAACATTGTTGTTGCTGAACGACTTGCTCACCGAGGCGATGTGGAACAACCATATGCGGAGGACCGGTGGTCATCCCTTCGGATTGGGCCAGACCAACTTCGGTTCGATGCTCTCGATGCATGCCAGCGATGTCAAATGGTTTGCATAGACCAGTTCACTGGCATTCGACGCGCTGAGCCGTTTTCAACGCTCGCCAAAACGCGAAACATCGATGGGAAAGTCAGATTTGGCAAGTATTCTGCACTTTCTCCGGAAGAACTAGAGGGCTTTGACTCGGAACTACCTGATCGCAGGACGGTGATGGTAGGGGATGTGGTTGTGCCATCATATCAGGATGATTGAGTACATATGTCTACATGTCTACATGTTTTCCTGTCGACAATTTTGGCTCGTATTTCTGGGTGGAATTAGGTGTTTGGTAGTGCTATTATATACATACTTCATGCCTTGTATTCACCTTACGTATATATCTACCAAATAAGAACCTTGCATTCGTAGCACTGCTCCAGAATCCCGAGAGTCTTTTAGCTACAAACTTAATTGATTGTTTTCCGTTGGGTCTCCTGACAGGACGTAATTGTCCGCATATTGTCTTCGAGAGTTTGTCAAATAGATAGAAGTAATCCCTCAGTCTGGTATTCGAAAGGTGCGCAATGGAAATTTTGAATTTGATAAACCAAAAGCGATATCGATGCTGGGTATATTAGACAACATCGATAGTTGCAGCAACCTTGTCCTGGGCTTTGGTAAAAGGCGCCGCAAAGCCATACGTCTCGTAGCCTTTAGAGTAATCTTTGCCCTCCTCACGCTCTAGCAGAGATATATCAGCAACCCGGTCAAACATGTAAACCTCTAAACTTCCAAAGAATAACTCACCATGTTCAGGTGGGAACATCTCCATCCGGTGCTTGTAATATCGCTCCCTAAGATCCTCCCCATCACTCCTCGAGTGGAAGGTAGCATAAAGGCTCGACCGACTCTTATCAGTCTTGTTCTCAGCCGAGCGATGGGCAAGATGCGACCCAAAGATCAGCATATCGCCCATTTCAAGTGGAACAGAAATCCATTCGTGCGCTTCCTCCCATTCAGATGTGATTCGGCCACCTTCCGCAAATTCAACTCCCATTTTGTGTGACCCGCGCACAACTTCCAGACATCCATTTTCAGGAGTCGCGGCGTCAATGGCTATGTTGGCCGTAACATGTTCGATGCGGCCGATGTGGTCGTAGGCTGGTGCATCGAGGTGCGCTTCGAAGCCGTTTCCCTGGGGCTGTTTGTAGTTGATCTTTTCTTTGAAGAGGAGCATATCCTATAGTTAGGAGCTTGGTATTAGTATGATCCTCTAAGACAGCTTCAGTGTTAGGGTGCTGGGGGAGATACATCGCCTGAGACTGCCTTTAGAATCTCGGCCAGTTGCTCGCCGCAGACAAGTGACTTAAACCCGGGATGGTAATCAATGAACCTTTCCGTGCGCATCAGTTGGCGTTCGCCGTTGATGTTGATTTCGTCGTAGGGCATCCATTTGCCCTTGACACGGGGCCAGGCCTGGACTTCTTGCGTCCATCGCTTGAGTTCTGCAGGATCAACGAGTTTATGCTGGTCGGCGCGCAGAAGGAGGTATCCATTCTCATGGTAAGAAGCTATTTGTTCTGGTGTGAGAGGTGACATCTTTGAATAATCTGATCGTATCCACAGAATTAGGGCGATAATGGGACAATCGAAGTGAACATGTAGTAAACTAGCGAGCCTTTAATAGTCTCGCAATGCGTCAGCTTCTTATACTGCGGGGCCATTCCGATGACTCGGTCCTCAATTCCCTCATGTGTTAAGCTCGGCATTTCTCAATATGTTACGGGAATAAAGTGAAGGTGTTCGTCCCGAAGCCACACCGAAACCCTCGGGATGCAGCACAGACCAGCGGGCTTCGTGCCGATGAATGCGACTCACTCATTCACGTATCTTGGAGGGCATCATGAGTTACCAGAGGGGTAAGCTGGAAGATCCTCAAATGCACGTGCATAGACGGACTTCATGCCTTGATGCAAATTTCGATGCCACAGGGGCTTTTAATATATCATTAAGACACTATATGAATGACCGATCTATTCAAGACCTGATAAACCATTTCTTGAAAACAATCCAAGAATATCCATCAAAATGAACATGGGGATGAAAACCCCCAAGACTGAGCACCCTCTCGCCTCGGTCGAGGAATACACCAGAGCAACCATTAAAACATTGTTCCAACTCCTGCGCGCACAGGGCCAGGGTGACTACCTCGGCGAGCAAGTGACACAACTAGAGCACTCGCTACAGTGTGCATATCTCGCCACGCAGTCCCCCAAACATGAAAATGACCCCGAGGTCATCCTGGCTGCACTTTTACACGACGTCGGACGGTTCATCCCTGCAGCCGAGAAGATGGAGAAAATGATCACTCCGGATGGCCAGTATATTGGAAGGCAAAGCCATGAGGCTCTGGGTGAGACTTATCTGCGCCAGCTTGGATTCAGCGAGAAGGTGTGCAAGTTGGTTGGTGCGCATGTAATGGCTAAGCGATATTTGGTCGCGACAGATCAAAGCTATTATGATGCATTGAGTGAGACCAGTAAGCGGACATTGAAGTTCCAGGTATTTCGTCTTTCCCTTATTATCTCAATACTTGGAGTATGTATGTTAACGACGATTAGGGTGGCGGATACAATACTGAGCAGGTCCTGGAGGCGCAACAGGATCCCCTGCTAGATGCAAAGCTTTCTGTGAGACGATGGGATGATCTCGCGAAAAAGCCGAAATGGAAAGTCCCTGATCTGAAAGCCTATGAGAACCTTGCCTATCAATGTCTTATTGGTGAGCGTGTTCGCGATGATGTTCTCAATATAAAATACTAAACCCCTAATCTAGACTCCCGGTCGAAATTCACCCTACATTCGAAAGAATATAACCTGCCAACACAGCCCACGGTCGTAATTTGCATTGATGGCTTCGACGCAGAGTACTTAAAGTCTGGTATTGAGAGAGACCTTCTGCCAACTTTCAAGAAATTCCTTGACACTGGATTCCACGCCACTGCCCGGAGTTGCATGCCTTCATTCACCAATCCGAACAACGTGTCTATCATTACAGGTGTACCACCATCAACACATGGAATTGCTGGAAACTTCTTCTTGGACAGAAATACAGGCGAGACAAGGATGATCACCGACGACTCCCTGCTTCGTGGCTCAACAATATTGGAGCAGATGGTCCAGCGCGGTGTACGAGTGTCAGCCATAACTGCCAAAGACAAACTGCGTAAAATCCTTGCCCACGGCTTGAAGGGAGCTATCTGCTTTTCTTCAGAAAGGGCAGCGGATTGTACCCTGGGCGAGAACGGAATTTCCAGCGTGGAACAATGGCTCGGTCAGCCTGCGCCCAGTCAATATTCGGGCGATTTGTCTCTGTTTGTGCTGGATGCGGGCATTAAATTGCTCCAAGAGGAGAGATCGGACTTTTTGTATTTGACATTGTCCGATTACATTCAGCACAAGTATGAGCCTGGCAGCAATGAGGCTGACGATTTCATGGGAGCCATTGACGAGCGTTTGCAGAGACTCGTGGCTCTAGCTCCTATTATTGGTATAACTGGTGACCATGGCATGAGCCAAAAGTCGAATGAGCTGGGGGGAGGCCAATATTCTCTTCCTGGAAGAAGTTCTAAATGCCGAGTTTGGGCCGAATGCCTCGAGGGTTATCTGCCCCATCACGGATCCGTTCGTTCGACACCATGGCGCACTCGGTTCCTTTGTGCGCGTCTACCTCAAAGACATCGCCCAACTTGGATTGATACTTTCATTCTGCGAGTCACTCCCATATGTCGAGGCTGCTCTGAGCGGGCAAGATGCCGCTCAAATATATGAGATGCCTTTGGACCGAGAGGGTGACATTGTGGTTATTTCCAAGCCACATGCTGTCATTGGCAGCTGCAAAGCAGATCATGACCTTTCAAAGGTGAAAGGCCATCCGTTACGGTCTCATGGAGGCCTAAGCGAGCAAGAGGTCCCATTGATCATGTCAAGACCGGTGAACAATCGGAGAAGGGCTGAGGCTACAGACTGGAGAAACTATGACGTGTTTGATCTTGTTCTCAACTGGTCAATTTGATATCTGGCTATCTCGATGCTTCAGGGCAAGAAGGTCCCATTGATATATTATAATATAGCCACCAGTCGTCAACATCGGGAAAGTTCGTTTGAAAATCAAAGCTTGCCATGTTTTCCATCCAAGTTGAATCAAACACTGGGGGCTGTTCCTGGGCAGGAGACGGACGATACATTGTTTGGTTAGTTGTGTGAGTAGACATCTGGCATCTACTCAACAGCCGTCCCAAGCCTTCGCTAATAACCACAAGGAGGTGGTGTTTATGCATAGATTGAGTGATGTCCCGCAGGGCAGCCACAGTCTCAGTGACCAAGGAAAGGATCTTGCCCGTATCAATTCTGATCATAGATGCATACTTTGTGGCAACTTTGAGGAGAAAAACAACGGCGAACGCGAGCATAGTATCAAAATATAAAGGAAGCCCATTCATGAATGATCGGAACTCGGCATCGTTCACAATTACCCGAAGGATTGACATAGCTGACAATACACCGGCATTGGCAATCTCCTCCAATTCAGGCGACATGTATTGAGGTGCACTCTCCGAGCTCGGTACACCACGAAAGGCGTGCGAGCAAAGATATAACTTTGCAAAATGGAAGTGAAAACCAACTCCCTTTTGCGGATAATTTCCGACATTCCGATTCACTTTGAAGCTATCGTTCCAATCTGCAAACCACGTGTCCAAAGAAATGGAGCATCGACGCAGTTGAGGGAGTGTCTGAGGTGCAATAGGGGTATCAACGTCAACCCCGAAGTTGTCAAAGACTCGACCCAGGATTGACCATTCTTTGACTTGGCTGATTAATCTAGCATCATCTTCTGTGGCATGTTTGGTTTCTAGTAATCGACTAGCCGACTCGATTATGAACCCTTCTCTGGACATCGGGGGTCGACCATAGGCGATCGAAAAGTGGTGATCGCATACATAGACGAGATAATATAGTCGAGCTTGAAGATAACCATCGCGGTCTCCTTTGAGGGCCTTGTAGATACCGCCATGGAGATTTATTTCCGACGCAACGCGGACAGCTAGTTCTGTTAGCTTCGTTTCACCAGAATATTGCAGCCACGTACCATTTCCGATCAAGGCCCAAGAAAGTTCATGCAACCAAAACGCACCAATACACAGGCCACGGATGTCATCTTCATTCGCATGCCTTGAGAAAGTTTGGGCCGCGACAAGATTCTTATATTCACCGTAGCAGGTCTCAAAGAGATGACCGAGGGATTGAGAATGCAAAGCAGCCACGGTGCAAACAGCCGTTGTTAACAGTGGGGATGCGATCCGAACCGAGTCCAGACTAATATGGTCGCCAAGAATGCGATAGAGGAAATGATCAAGTCTGAGATGATATGTTTCGAATAATGCGACGGCTTGGCGTAGCGAGATAAGTCCCGTGGATATCAAGTCTGGACGACGGGCAGTTGATGCACTGTTTGGCGGGCCTGCCTTCCCACTTTCTGAAACACACGAAGCCGGGATGGAAGCCGGGCCGCCCCGGGGGTCCATCACCACTTCCCAAGTCTGCGGTTGCTCATGATTCTCTTTTGGCTGAGGTGCCTGACTTGAGGTCGTGGTTTCCCCCGCAGTGACTTCTTCATGAATAGCTTCAACAGGTGAACCCGAAGAACCATCTTGTATTTCAGGGGCAGCTGGCAAAGATTGCAACTCGGGGATGTCAACTTTGGCAGCAATATTTGCAACAGCCTCTTCTAGTCGCCGCATCTTTTGCACCACGGCGCCTTTCCATCTAGATACCTATCAGGGAATGACAGTGCAAGAATTCCGTCGTACTTACGTGACATCGTCTTCCAATAATGTCTGCAAGCTTCGGTTCACACTGCAAGGGAGACCTCTCTTCTTGCACCGCGAACATGGCATTTGACCCTCACGCATATGGCATTTGACCTTCCTCGCATGTCAGTTAATTGCTTCATTATGGCAACTCAGCAATGGACTAACCTTTTGCTTTCGACATGCTACACAAGCAGTAATCTTCCGAGTGATATCGGGGGGGCTTTCGATCGCCAAACGATTCTCTCAGGGCACTTACTGCCGGCGGAGAGGCTAGTTCGATGTCCATAATGTGTGTTCAATTGAGATTGGAATCCGAATTTGCATTGTTTGCATCAGACATTCATCCCACCTGGGCAGTCAATCAACAACACAATGAGCATAACTTGTCCCATCTGAAAAATGCGGACTTCCCACCGAAGATATATACTCGGGTGCTTATTATATGGGGGGAATGTCGGAGTAAGACTCCACGTGGGGACACTGCGGGTTTCCGACTGGCCTCTGCCTATCTTAGCTTGTCCCCCGTGGGAGCTTTGGCGTTCCTCATTGCATCTTTCTTCCTTGGCGATGAGTGTCATGTCCAACATGGATGTAACATAATGGTAATTCGAACCGAGATACTACCTAGTTAGGTAATATCTTGGTTATGCCTATTATACGCGTTAAAGAGTATATAATCCGACTATTCGGGTAAGAAGACAACAATATGTATCTCCGCAATGCTGGAATAGGATTTTGCATTGTCTCAATCACTTTTATTCCTGTCAACCTCAAGAATTACTTGATTCGTTCCAATGGCACCTCTGGGAGCCAAATTGAGGTTTGTGATCACTGCGGGCGTTGGATTCTTCGCGGATGGATATCTCAACTTGACGATTGGACTTGGTGAGTGACTTGCAATCAATGCGAGACCAAAGGCTAATACTAAATAGTGGTACCAATCCTGGGATATCTATACTTCCAAGATGGCAAGGTACCGACAGTCGACAGCGACATTATGAAAGGTGGCCTGAGCTTGGGCATGGTAGTTGGCCAGCTTCTTTTTGGGGTTTTGAGCGATGTTTGGGGTCGCCATACTATCTATGGTAAAGAGCTTCTCCTTACTATATCCGGAACCTTGATGGTAGTCTTGTTACCTTGGAACCGGATGTCGGCCCAGTCTGTGACGGCGTGGATTGCAGTATTTCGTGTTGTGACCGGGGTTGGAACTGGGGCTGGTAAGTCATGTTCGTTTTTTGAGGCATAACGGGTCTAACATGAGGGAGACTATCCATTATCTTCATCTTTATCGGCAGAAAAGTCACCATTTGGCTCCCGTGCTATCCAAGTGTTGACTGTCTTCTCGAATATCGGCCTTGGTAATACGGCAGCCAGCATTGTGTTTCTGACCTTGCTCAAGGCATTCGAGGGCTCGATAGCCAACAATCTGAGCCATCTCGAATGGATCTGGCGCTTGCTACTGGGTATTGGAATTGTACCAGCAGCGTTCACTCTCTATGCCCGGTTGACGATCGCGGAGACACTGCCCTATAAGCAATGTGAGAGCACCTTGCTGTTGTATTCTAAAGATAGCTAATGCTGTTTAGATGTCTGCGATGACACATCTGGGAAGAAACGCACATTCAAGAAGCAGTGGGAAGACTTTTGCGAATACTTTAGTCACTGGAAACATGCCAAAGTGCTATTCGCAACGGCAGGCTCCTGGTTCTTGTTGTGAGTTAGAATGGCCCTTGGAAAAAAGGCTCCCGAAACTAATACACATAGCGATATCGCATACTACGGTATCAACCTCAACCAAAGCATTATACTAGCCAGAATCGGTTATGCAAATGGAGCAACAACCTGGCAGACCCTGTACAACACTGCGGTGGGCAATATAATCATACAGGCGGCAGGCTACCTCCCCGGATTCTACGTCGGCATCTTCCTTCCTGATTGTATCGGTCGTGTACGCCAACAATTCTGGACATGTATCGTGGTGTGCATACTTTATGCTATATGGGCTGGAATCAGCACACAGAGCGCACACTCCCCGACAGCTGGCTTGATGATTATCTTTGCCCTCTCGCAGTTTTTCCTGACCGTTGGCCCCAATTGCACGACGTTCCTGATTCCCGCAGAAGTGTTTCCAACGCGGGTTCGAGGAACAGCACATGGAATATCTGCTGCTGCTGGAAAATGCGGCGCAATTATAACTGCATTTGCTTTCGGTACTGTCGAAGACACAATCGGCTTGGAGGGTGTCCTTGGGCTGTTCTCGGGCATTATGCTTCTCACTGCTCTCGTAACCTTGCTGATACCCGAGACCAAGAATCAAACTCTTGAGGGCATTGAAAATGATGAGCTCTATAGACCAAGCAGTTGTAGCCAACGCCTTTGCCGTGATAAGGCCACAATATCTTGAACATCGATGTCCAGAATAGTTCTGATTGCATTTTCTTGGCTTACCATTTATTTACGCCTGACATATCTTTTTAGAATCAGAGATAGATTTACAACAGCACATCCCCAGGTGCATCCAGTTGATATTGATGTATTTTGATTGGCTCCATGGTTTACCCCGCTTATGGACCCGCTTAATATGATCAACATCACCTGATGACCTCAGTGGGATCAACTTCCCAAGTTCCACGTCAACATATTGGTGACCCTTGTCTTTGGCTAAACTTCCGACAATTTCTGATATGGCGGACCGCTTGCACTCCCGCCAAGGGTCCGACACTTCCCTCAATAGTGCGTCCATTGCTTCTCCACGATCCAGCATCGAATCCCGGTCTCCCTCTGCACGAAACCAACTCCGCGTTTCAGCAAACCACCAGCACAGACAAAGCTTGAGCGAATCGCTTCGTGGCCCACCCGGCTCTCCCCGCGCACGCCGGCAACCGTCCCTCCCACAGTCCGCCGTCCAGAGCCTCATCGATAATCCCCCGGTGCCGAAGACCACCAACCCTGCCTTTGTTGGTCGTGATTGGAGAGAGATCTCAATTGGCGAGCTGGTCAGCCCGGATGACCTGAAGTTTGTCGAGCTTGATACGGGAATTGAAGATGCGACTAATGTGAGTACATCACTAAGCCAACACCCTCTGCCCTTGGACTAACATGTTCGTCCAACTAGATCTTGATTGATTCAGGTGCAGCTGTGTTGTTGATTCGCGAGACGCCTGAAGCCACTTCTGCCGTTGGCACGTTCGACTATGCCGATCTCAACTCCTATCTCCTGCTGGCAGCGGGCCTGACACACCCCGACGAAGCGCATCAAGCGTCATATGAAGAGCTAGCCAAGAAAGCTCACGACGGCGTACCTATTCCCCTGAGAGATGTCAAGAAGTTCGGTATGGAGAAGGAACCGCTGATCAAACTACCGGCGTCGGCCAATGTCTTGGCCGCAGTGGAGATATTTGGTGGTGGTGTTCACCGGGTTGTGGTGGTCAATGAGTCGAATGACCAAGAAGTGGTCGGAATCTTCAGCCAGTTCCGACTGGTCAAGTTCCTCTGGGAAAATGTCCGCAGCTTCCCAATCATTGAAGAGCTCTACCCGAAGGCTCTGCGCGAGCTGGTTATTGGATCTCATGAAGTCATCTCAATCAAGTAAGTCGTTTGATGAATTCTTAAAGAGCAATCTAACCGCCATTTTGTCATTTGCAGTGGTGATAGACCCCTCTCCGAAGCCCTTCATATGATGAACAACGAGGGTATGTCCTCGATCGTGGTTGTTGATAACCACTTTAACGTTCTTGGGAATATCTCCACAGCGGATGTCAAGGTATGTGAGGAAGCATCTGGGCTTGGCACAACATACTCACAATTTCGCAGCTTTTGACCCGATCATCTTCATTGCCACTTCTTCAAAACACCTGTACTCACTTCATCTCGGTCATTCTTTCCACAAGGGGATTGATGGAGGGTAAAGACTCATTCCCCGTCTTCCACGTCAATCCTGGATCGACACTGGCTCACACAGTCGCAAAGCTCGTGGCAACCCGGTCACATCGGTAACTACTGCACATTTGAGATATAAACAGAAGGCGTACTGGTGTACTAACTGCTACTTTAGGCTCTGGGTGACCGATCCATTATCTCCAACTTCATCGGGACCGCCAACTCCATCGCAGTCTTCAGTACACATCCCTCTTTCCAACAGCATCGGCCCAACTACCGGATATATTGCAAATTCACCACCACCGTCTCCTTCTGCACCCGTGACCCCTCCTACGCAGCCCTCTCAATACACTGCGCCTCACCTACCAGCCCCTAACCCACCCTACACATACCCAGCCCCAGGCGTGTCGGTCCCAGTGCCATCGCCCATCTCGCATTCTATTCCCTCCTCCGCCCTAGACGGGGCCCGACTGTCCGGGCGTCTAGTTGGAGTAGTCAGTTTGACTGACATTCTGAATTTGCATGCCCGAGCTAGCGGGCTGAACCCAGCTGACCCCGCGGAGTCTCGTAGCCGCCGCCGACGCAGTAGTTCGTCAAGCCAGAGTGTGCGCCGCAGCGGTGACATTGGCCGGGAGCTTTTCAGCCGTGGTATGTAAAAGCATACACTGCGTTTTGTACTTGGGCTCTATTCTCTATTGCAGAGCATTGTTCTCAGTACGCTTGTATTTTGAAAACCCGACATACACACTGGCTCTGTCCGATGTGTTTGGGTCTGTAGAAAGCCCAAGGCCCACCACGCCCACTAGTTATGAATGTTTGTCCCACTTGATCAGTTATACAGGATAGGACGCAAGCGGATGGACCTTCGGACTTGCCCAGCCTCTCATTATCGTCTTTAACAGCGGATTTAATTTCGATTGTGGATAAACATTACCAAACAACTTCTAATTGACCATATCCCTACATAGTCCCTCACTTGCCTCCTGGTAGACCCTGCGATTTATCACAGCTGAATTTTGAGTCTCTATCTTACCGGGTTGAGCCAGATCTATACATTCACACTAGGTTAAAATCAGTAATCATCGGACAAAGCCGATCAAACCCACATCGCCACGCCGATCAGACAAACCATCTTAACTCGGACAAAACCCGGATCCGCACAGAAAGAAAACCGCACCTATCACCCGGATAAACATCTCCGGCACCCGCAAAGCAGTCTTATTGTGTCCCATCCAGCGCTGTCCACCGGCGCAAACACTACCACACACGCAATGATGGATTATCCACTTCTGCACATCCAGCTTGGTCGGACAAGACCGATTCCAAATCAAGGTGCTCTTGGCCCTCGTATTCCGTCATTTGGGTGGCATTTTGCGTTGAATTGCGTTTGACCATGACTCAGGGGGGCGTTGATCAGCTGCAGGTCTCTATGTGTGGATCTAGCGTACGTCGGTTCATGTCCGGCATTTGGCTTCTTCCTGCCTTTCACTGGCCCGTCATATTTTAGTTTAATCCTCCTATTTGCTCAGCTTATGCGGCATCGCGCGGATGGGGTGTCGGTTGCGGTTTGATTTAGGCTGATTTGGAATAGAAGATATTGTTTCTCCATACTAGAATTAGGCTAAGTCGAGATAGAGGTTTGATAATAATTTTCAATGTACAGAGTATGTCATGAATAGATCAATTCTACACCGAGAACCAATGTGATCGATAATTTCCTTACAAGAATAAAGCGAAAAAGAGGATTCGTATTAAACTCAAAAGACATAAGCTTAGACCAAATCGCGAGATTGTCAACTCTCTAAAATCCGGGGAAGGGTCCTCCTGCCCACGAACGCATCCACAGCCACTCCGCCCATCCGATATGGTTCGTCGGAAGCCACTTTTGCTCCACCACGCACCGAGAGATTGGATTGGACGCTTATCATGGAAATACCCTTGGCGCATTTCCGCGCGAATTGGGAATTATCGCTAGGCTATATTATAGAGGCGTCTCGATTAGGAAGGATCAGAAGATACCTAGATGAGGCTGGATTTACGAGGTTCATTTGAGGTATGAACATGGATCGTTTACTACAAGTATCCCTGGCCATAGTAAGATTTGGACGAATAGCGTGCAAAGATAAGCTTCCAAATCGACCGATCTGGACCCCATGACCTGATCTTAATCAAACGCAGGTACGTAAGTCCCAACGAGGGCACAAAAGACGAGTCAGTTCAGAATTCACGAATCACCCCCTCCACAGCTATCACACCGGGCCATCTATCCATCACAATCACAATCACCACTCATGGACCTATCATCGGCCTTGGAAGTAACCCCCATCCCAATCAGTCAATCTGACAGGCCACCCACAGGATCCCGAAGCCACAAAACCAGCGGGAAATGGAAAATCGCCACCAATCACCCCTCCGCAAGTGCGCACGGGGCCAGCGTTGCAGTCCAGTCCAACCAGATCCAACTATGCGAACCCTAGCGCTAACCCACATCCAGGCAAGCATTTACTGGGTGGGTGCTAGACTTGGCCCCCGTTTGAGCGGCACGGGGTTTGCCCCTCTACCTAGGTACTCCACTGGCGAGATGAATTAGAGTTTTGAGGTATGATTCAAAATGTCTTTTGCCGGCAATACCCAGGTCTTACCCGTTGGTACGCTGCCCTCGGACTGGTCTTTCGACCGTGGTAGTGGTATTGATGGACTCTATACTTTTCATGGGTCAGTGCGGGCGCTAGTTTGTTGTTGGCCAATTAAAATACGGGCTTGGCTTTGCCGAGCTGCAACCTTAACCCCGCAATCTGGGATTCTGCAAGTCACTCTTTTTCTTTTCTCCCCCTCTAGTTGGTTACTTTTGAGTGTTGCTGGGGTTTTTTTAAAAAAAGAAATTTGAGTTTTGTGTATAGATATTATATTAAATTTGCCCTGTTTAATATTTACAATAGCATCGCTGGGAGCTGGTAGGAGATCAATGCACTAGGTACTCCGTATGTAGGTACCCTTTCAAGAATAAGTCGATCCTGCACGATCGCCGTTAATCCATAATCTCGGGAACGCCTCATCGGTCAAGCAGGGACGGGAAAACAACCGCCAATTCCGCAGGCACGGGGCACTTCAATTTCAACCTTGGGGATTTACTTTCGCTCAATATCAACTTTAAATCTACTAGTACACGAGGAAACTATCACTTGCAGCAGTCAAGTCAACCTTATTCCCAAATTGCAATTTATCCAAGGAAGCCTATCTCACCGCGTGATCAGAACGATTTCAGAACAGTCCCGAGGTAATACACGAGACGGAAACCAATATTCCAAATCAAGGGAATTTCAAAGACAAAGCAGAGAAAGCAGAGTTCTCCCCTGCAACCGAGAGAACAAAAGTACCTGTTTCCATACATCACGCAAGGCCTGGGCTGGAATCTACTGAGGGACCAGGGCTATGACATAGCACGGTGGTCACGATGTGACAAATTAAGGCGGGGTGTTCCACGGTTGAGGATGGTCTGATCGCTGGATTGCGAGTAGGTACGTGGTCCATGAGGAACTGCTTTGGTGGGTTGAGGAATACCTCATAACCCTGCAGGGCTCTTCTGTTCTTTTTCATCGTGGAGTAGACCTACGTAGGTAGGGCTAAAGACTTACTACCAAGGGTGTATGTTGGTTGTGGAGTTGGTTTACTAGATGCGGCATTTTGAAGGGAGAAAGTTGTAAATTCAGTGGTTTGGATTTACTCGAAGTTAAAGCTAAAAATGCAGTCCTGGTTAAGGGAAGATAAAGGTAAAATATCATTCCTATGTAATGTCTGGGTGGGGGGGTAAAACTACACTGAGGGGAAGCTATAGCTGTAGCTATAGCTACAGATCTACTGGCACGGCCCGGTGGAGAAAAGAGTCTGGGACCAGACTTATCCCACGAAAGAAAATGGGATGCCAATAATCGCGCAGTCCTTGGAGGAATTGTGGGGAGGCTCCGGATTAGGACACGGACTGTGAGGGTTGTTTGCGGATCAATGCAACGTCAAGTCCTGCAACGTTAAATCCACCAAGGTGAAAATTTAATAGGGAGATTGAAAAAGAAAAGTGGATAGAATTTGTCTCTTCGTGTTACTGTACATACATTGAAGAAAAGTAGAGTAAAGTTTGATGAAAAAAAGAGAAAGAAGAGCAACGGTTCATCCGATACATACAAACATCTCCAACCCTGACTCCTGTTCAGGATATTAAATGTGAGATAAATGTGAGAAGATAAATAGAATATGATACAAGAGCGAATGTGTAAAGCCAACCAACCCGATATACACCCAAATCCAAAAAGAAGAAAGAACCAAAGAAAAAAACCATAACTACCTAGGTATATCAGGTATCGTAGATCATAATAGGCATGATAGACAGATAGATGAAGTTAACAAGAGACGCTGGTGAAATCATCAACAGCGAGCAGGTCGTCAAAGCCAAAAGCCTGGTCACGGTCGGAAAGCGGAACAGTCGAGTTACCCAAGTGGAAAGCAAACTGACTGAAATCCGTGAAGTCAGGATCCATCCCCTCATGCGAGACCATAATGCCATCACCGTTGACCTTCCCACCGGGCGACATAGTAGCATTTGCGGTAGCAGTCCTCGGCGACAGTGGGGTATTGGGAGTGGGACAAAAGTCTGGAGTGGAGTGAGTGCCCGCTGAGAGGGCCTCGATCTTAGGAGAGCTAAGACTGGAGGGGGCGATCTGCGAGTGGGAATGGTGTGTGGTCTGCGTAAGGAGACTGAGGTTGTGGAAGTTATTCGATGGCTGGGACTGGCCGCGCGAGTGACCATGGGTAGGGCTGTGGCCGGTGGGGCCCGAGATGGATGCTGAAGGAATGGGTGGGGCGGCAGAGTGCTGCAGAGGCAATTCCGGTGCGGACGCAAGGCGGTCTCTGAACTGATGCATTTGGGTTGCGGTGTCGGGAACCTGGGACTGCTGCATCATTTGCTGCTGCCACATTTGCACGGCATGCGTGTCTGTGGGGGTTTGCCCAGGGGTTGGATTCTGCTGTTGCATTGGGGCCCATGCGGGTACTTGGGAGTTCCAGGATGGTGCTGGTGCTGAGGCTTGTGGGCTCATGTAGGTTGGGAGTCCCGATGGGCCGGTTGAGGCAGAGCACATGTCGGAGTATGGCGTCTGGGAACCGCTCATGCAGGCCATGTAGGACTGGGCACTTGGGTCGTATGATGCCGTGGGCGATAGTACATAGCCATCACTCGTTGGCATTGGGCTTGCCATTGAGCCTGAGCCTGAGCCTTGGGAGAAGGAAGAGCGCATATTAGATAGATCCAAGCTCATCTTGCGCGGACCACCATTGACCGATGGGCGTGGGGTCATGTGGCTTGCTCGTCGGCTGTGGATGGAAGAATTGAATTGAGCGCGGGCTGCAAAGGCGGCCATTAGATGGTCTTGGAATTGCTTCTCAATTTCCTTGTTCTGGCGTTGTAGCATAAGAATGCGTTTTTCTTGATACCGCTCATCGACCTCTTCATACATGGCTTCTTTCTCAACAATCTCCTTGGTGATGTGAAAGGCCTTGCCCGTGCGCTTCTTATGCAACATAGAAGCCCGGTTAGCAGATTCCAAGCGAGCATCTAAACTGCGATCCTTTCGCCGTGACGCAGCAATAAAGGCTCTGGATGGTTTGTTAGTATTTTTTTTTTTCCCTTTCCCCTCCATCTGGTAGTACATACCTTTCTTGGTTCTCCTCCCGTGAACGGGGGATCGGCGTAATATCCTGGTCTAGATCTGACAGGGGCATATTGGACATAGTAGGCGAAGTAGATTTATGTAAGAGTCTATCAAAAAAAAAAAGAAGAGGGGGAGGGTAATTTAAATACCAAAAAGGCTGAGGAGTTAAGCCCAAGCTTGGGGCCACAACCACGGAACCGAGTCGATCATAGTTTGGGCGCTTGGAAAACTTACGGCCGCTCGGTCCATGGTTGCCCAGTCCCTCCCCTCTAGGCAAGTCTGCCTGAGCGCCACTAACCGCCAAATACGAGTGGCTCGACTCGTGGTGCCACTGGCCCATGTCTACCTAGTCCATCCTGGAGATTATTTCCAATTTCTGCAAATCTGCAGAATACCAGTGTGATTATCAGGAGATTACAATGAATTTCAGATTAGCACTGACGGTCTAGACCATCAAGTGATTAAGTGGGGCGTTACTCTGCACTCCAGATCCTGATAGATGTATTCCGATAAAATGTTACTGTATCGAGAATCACTGCTGATCATCTTCCTGAAGCGTTGGACCCCCACCGAATTTTTTTTTGCTTCTCTTTTTCTATGAGAGGTGCCTTCGATAGCACGCAGCGCGATGGTACCACGTGATAGCCGGATCGGGCAGGGCCAGGGCTGGACCGTTGGTTAGTTACTCAGTTTTATCCTCCAAGGAGACCTGAAATTTAAGGCTATATGATTTAAATGCATGTCGTGTCGTCAAGAACATTGAAAATATTGTCTTGACAGATCTATGGATAAGATTACTGCACGTCAGATATACTATGATCACATCTTAGTGCCCAGGTGGAATGGATCACTTAGTATAACAGGTACAAGGATTACTATTGGCGGACGCTTCCCGAGGGAAACAACTATATTGCTGGATCTGGATTATGCCAATTGAAAATTCCGAGCAAATCTTTTGTCAACTTCAGGTTTGAATATGAATGACTGGAGAGCCTGTCTCTGCCTTCCTAATCTGGCGATTTCCTTGACGTGCCTTGGCCTACCACGCAGGCCTGGACAGGGTCCAGGCTGTCTCGACAGATTTTCGTGGAATTCACTGATATTATAATCAGCGTAGCGAAATATCTCCAACCTTGGAGTATGTGACTCTACTAATAGCTACCAACGTGGTGGACTTGACTGTATACATACACTCGAAAGATAAGACCTTTATTACAAGCGATCCATGTAGTTCTCGATCTATCGCGGCAGTACAAAGTATTTCTGCACTTAGGGTTGGTTGTTGCGGTATGTATATGTACTAGGTAGGATCAAACAACACAATCTAAAGTACGTACTAATCGAGGCATGAACCGCCGCCAGCCGCAGTAAACATTATACATGGTATCCAGAATCACACCAATTGACCACTATCACAAGCCATCACTAGTAGCTACATCCATGTATGTAGGTGATACCGCATACAACACGATACAAGATATGGGCTCAACTGCCCACATGTGCCGGCCTACTGGAGACACAAATCTGTCACCAAACCCTTCCAAATCCTTCTTCCTTCTCTTGACCAGACATATACCTGCCTGATCTAGCCTCATCTTCCATGGAAAATAAAAAGACGCCATGTCGAAAGTAGCCCTGGAGGACATCCTTGGGGGTTTGCCACCTCGGCACCGGTCTAAGGTCGGATTACCTAATCCCACCCGGCCGAGACTAGACCTCCACCTAGGGGCTGGGCATTGAGCATACATATCCTGATGCCCCTGAAGTCGCCACTGCCAACAATCCGATGTCATACTCCTTCATTTCTTTACATGGACCGTGTCCTATTCGTCTTGACATGATTGGCAAATTGACGATGCCAATTGAAGTTTAATTAGCAGATTGACTACAACGTGGTGGAGACCCGGCAATCAAGCCGATCCCCCGCTGATCGCTCACGATGTACAATGGGGACAAAGTACGGAGAACATATGATATGTACTCCGTACCATGTGTGGGAATGCATAAACGTTCACGGGTGGAAATTAACATTGGATATCAAAATTAATCTCAGGGGTCTCGTATTTCCCTCTGGTATCTGCCCAGGTGAATAACCCAATTCCCAGATAAACATTAGCAGTCGATCCCTCGGCAAACGATCGGTGATCGAACAAGTACGTTCTCCAGAAACTCCCACGCACAGCCACTATATAAACCCAAACTATACTTCATGTCGCATACTTCCGCCAGGCCGAGGTTTGGGAAAGTGCTGCACGGAGATCTGCAGGCATATATACTCGGAAGGGAATGTGTGGCTAGCCATATCACCGTGGCCGTGGCGTTGGGTGGGCTATGCAGGGGAAATCTTGGCAGAACTGATTTTCTGATTTTTATTGTTTCTCATTTGGGGGACATACCACGAGCGTGCCTGCAGGTAGGTACCCAGGTAGGTTCTAGCGCTAGGGCTGGTTCCTTGTACCCGGTTCTCGGGTTGGTTACAGTTAGGACGGTACGGTCAGTCACCGGGCCGGGAGACCTGGTTGTATAGGACAGATCTGAAGTATGACAAGGGCATCGACCTCTCTCGCTTTTTCGCATGGAGAGAACTGGGTTTGTTCATTGATTCGATCCTCCAATGCTGATTACTTTCATATCTGCATGAATCAATCAATCCAACCAGACGCACACCGTCCCTTGCCAGAAGTGGAAAACAATTGTAAATGAAATCTTATAAACAGCACGGATAGGCAAAAGACGCTAAGTTCTCAATGAGTGCAAAGCCAAGGGGAAAGGACACCAATCAAGGGCAGAGAAGGGCCAAATCAGCGGATGATGCTGCGCTGGATGGAGTAGCCAGCATCAATAGATAAGACTACGATTCAACCGGTGTGTATGTTAGGTTGTCCGCTCGGGGGGGGGAAGCCTCGTCAGACAAACCTAGAGGGAGATCTCAGGACACACGGACACGGACAGCAAGATAAAGTTATGGGGTCGGCGTTTAGGCGATTCCCAGCGGTGGTACCATTCCCTGCTCCTCACGGGCCTCGCTGCCAAGCTTGTAAGATACTTTGAACCGAATCTTCACCGAGTTGCCCTTCCCAACGTCAATTCCATCTATGAGCATCTCCTGTTGGACCCCATTTTGCTGCTGGGGTGCAATGTCTCGGCCTGATTGCGGCCGAAGCTGTAGCGTGTAGGACTATTCAATTGTCAGTAAACTCATCTAGAAAGTGGACTATGTTAAATAGTGGCAAATGGCTTACCTTCTCCACAGCGACCTGGAAATGGAGATCTCCAATACTTTGGGTAGTCGCGTTTGAGAATATGGCTACAATGTGGACCTGGCGTGTCTGGTTCGGCACCCGGCGTGCAGCAAAGTCGACACGGAGCTGAGAGTTCAGGACTTGGATCTTATTGGTCGATGGAAGCGCATTGCTCGCTGGCAATGCGGATGCGAAATCCCACTCATCATCTTCCACTGGAGCGGCCTGCCGCGCCGGTTGCGGGGACGGACCTGTGTCTCCGACCAGGTCAAGCAATGAGGACGAAGCCGGAGCAGGTTGGCTTTGGGCCGGTGGTTGGAAGGGACTAGATGTTGCCCGTGGGCTGGCAGAGACGAGCGATGCAAATGGGTCAGCTGCTGGTGGCGGAGTCGCTGTGGACTGGGCTTGGGACGAGACACCCATGACAGGCGTGGGAGATTGAGAGACGGGTCGCGAACTGTTCATAGAAGAGAGGATATCATAATTAGGTTTGAAGGCTGTTGGCGCCTGCTGCTGAGGTTGTGACGGGGCAGACGGTGTTGGGCTTGCTGACATGGATGGGAAATTCACTTGGATATTGGTCAGTGATGGTGTTTTGGAATATTGTGTCGCCGTACTTACTGGAAGATCCGAGAGAGATACCACCTCCGGGAGACGGAGATTGTTCACCTAACGAAAGGCCGAGCAGGTCATTCTCCAAGGAGTTACCGCCCTGGGATGGCCCCGCCTCGTTGCCGTTGGAGCTGGGTTCAGGCTCCGGGTCGAAATCGATAAGAGAGAGCTCGTTGTTTGCATTTTTCGAGACTCCGGTCGTGGTGCCCAGAGTACCCTTGGGAATCTGAGATGCAGCATGCAGATCACCCTTCTTGACTAGCTTATACCGCTCGATTGTGCGATGTATGCTGTCGTTTATCTCCAGTAGCTTGTGGACGGCCTCGGGGTCATCTGATTCTTCCTCGCACATTTTCTGGATTTTGGGATGAGCGCTTTGCAAAGCACTCGCAAGTTCCTGGTAGAGCGTCAGGGACCAATCAACTGGAGAACAACACTCTATCGCTTACCTCAAAAACGTCGCCTTCGGGGGAGAGTCTCCCCGGGTTGTTGATTCTGCAGCATCTCTTCGAGAATCTTGGCTTTTTGCTGTACCTTAACAACCTCCTCTGCGGCCTTTGCCCGATAGTCAGTCTTATGTCTATTGTCGAATCCGGCCATAACCTTCATGAGACGGTTCGCTTCCTGCAGATCAGCGGGAGTGCCTCTCCGAATCAGCTCTTGAAGTTTGGCAGACTGTGCCTCCCTCTCTTCCTCTTCCATCCTCGTCCGCTGAGCGGAGATTCTAGTCAACGTTAATTTGACTCCGAAAACAACACCATGTAGGGCCACATACATCACTAGGGTTCAAGACCGCAGCATCTTCTCGGCGGACCTCTGGGAACATATACCCCTTGTAAAGCAGCAGACGGTGCATGTCACGAATGAAGCCGAGGTCGTCCTTATAGCGCGATGTCTGGCAGATAGTCTGGCGCCACTCCTCGATCGACTCCAAAATGCGGTGTTGGACCCTCGAGGGCCGTATGGGTGGTCGCTCGGGGAACCTGCGGACCAATTCATTCAAGAATTCCTTCGTGCCGATCTGGAGATGGAACGGATATCCGCAGTTCTTGACGGCAATATCGAGTAGCTAGAAACCGCGGTTGTCAGTCTCCCCCACGCCAGCTGTCATTTGAGCTCCCCACGTACCGCCAACGCCAATAATGAGACATTCTGATTTCGGGAATTGATAAGATGAACGATCTCGAATGCGGCTTCTCGGGGCCTAAGAAGTGAATTCATGAGTGTGCGCCATACAACATGGGTGTTCTCACTCACGCATTGCCTTTCTTGGAGTTGATTAGATCCGCGACTTCGAGGTTCAGGGCTAGGTTCGGCTCGTAGTTCTGAGGATCGCAGGCATTTCCTGCGGATAATTAAGCATCAGTACGGTTCATTCGTGTTACATCCATTTCAGCATTAAACTCACGAACTGCCCGCTGTAACGGCGAAGCGCCTGGCTCAGCGTAGACACCGAAGCGGTCCCTAGCCGCCATTCGTGCAGATGCAGCCTCCAGGATGACGGTGGACGAGGAAACAAGAGGGGAAAAAGGTATTATTCAGATAAGGAGGGAGGTATGGACAGCACAAGGATCCAGAGGAGATGTGTACAGTCGCGGACGGGGAGCCGGGCGGAGAACCCGTTTAGGCTGCACGTGTGGCGCTTGTGCTTGGCCTTGGATCTCTTTTTTTCCCAATCACCGCGTTTACCACCACAGAATACTTCAAGATACTCCAAGTAGGGTATTCTTGAATATTTTCTTCAAATTTCGATCTTATCATCCACAATGGTCCGCCACAAAAAAGACAACTTCGCGCGAGGAGGCAAGAAATTCAGCAACCCCCGCCCCCGAGTGCCCCGCGGTGATGAAGTTGAGGGCGCGACTTCCTCGAGGCCTGCTTACAAGGCTGCCTGCTGGGATATGGGACACTGTGATCCTAAGCGATGCTCAGGAAAGCGATTGATGAAGCTCGGTCTGATGCGGGAGCTTCACGTCGGTCAGCGGCACCCCGGTGTGATCGTCTCGTATGTTTCGCAGCGCCTTTTCGTTTGTCGTATTTCGTATACTGACCATTGACTAGTCCAAATGCCAAGCGAATTGTCTCTCCCGCAGACAAGGATATTATGGAACAGCACGGTGCTGCTGTGGTGGAATGCTCTTGGGTGCGAGTCAAAGAAGTGCCCTGGTCGCGGATCGGCGGAAAATGTGAACGGCTTCGTATGTGATAAGAATTTGGCAAGGATCAACTGGATTTATGGTATTCTAACTCTCTTGCTATATAGTTCCCTACCTTATCGCCGCCAACACGGTTAACTATGGCAAGCCATGGCGTCTGAACTGCGTCGAAGCGCTCGCCGCTTGCTTCGCCATCTGTGGTCGCTTGGAATGGGCAGAAGATATACTGAGGCATTTCAGCTATGGGCCATCTTTCTTGGAAATCAACAAAGAGCTTCTGGCGCGCTACGCCGCTTGCGAAACAGAGGAGGATGTGAAGAGGACGGAAGAGGAATGGCTAGCTAAAATCGAACGCGAATACGAAGACAACCGCGTTGACGGAGGTGATGATATCTGGACCAAAGGAAACACCAATCGTTTGCCCGCACGAACTGACGACGACGAGGACGACGAAAGCGGAGACGAAGACGACGAAAATGAGGGCAGTGACGAAGAGGAAGACGAGGACAAGGATCCATTTGCGATTTCCGATGACTCTGAAGATGAAGAGCAAATGGCCGAAATCCGCCGCAAGATTCTCAATTCTAAGTCGTTCCAAAATCCGGAAGAGGGAAAGCAGCAGCCGGAGAAAATTTCGCGGCCGGAGCAGCTGTACGTCGACTCAGATGCTGAGTCCGGCTCAGCAGGAAGCGAGGACGAGGCATTCGACAATATCATCAATGCTACGACGGTCACCGACCGCACGGGAATCAAAGCGATTCAACGACGGAAAGCAAACGAGACTGTCTCTGCCTCATTCTCTCGGGCGGAGATTTCTGCCCCGAAGAAATGGTGAAATTGAGGCCTGTTGAATATCTACCCACTCACTCAGTGCGCATCGATAAACTTCTTGCTCTGAAGCCTATCCCATTTTCTGGGGCATCTTTGGTATCCTGGGTGTTCCCTCTTCTTGCAACGCCCACCGAAACCTTTATTGCTTGCGAGCACTGCCTTAGCAACTGCACTTGGTTGGTTCAATTCTCTGGTATTCTGCCATCCAGAATTGCTGTCTCGTCATTGGACGGGATCGCCTTGGTCAATTCACAGGATTACCAAGTTTCCTTTTTACTAGACCATGCGACACACAGCCCTTTGGTTATGGAGGCCTGAAAATAGGTCTGTTCTCATGGTCCATGTGTTATGACCCATTATAACGATATCTGTCTTATTTTCCACTCGGCGAGGGTCTATATGCACCGGAAAAGGGAAAGAACCAGGTGTCATCCATGGATGGCACAAATCAAATTCACTACATACAAATGTACGTACATATGTACGTATTTTTCTTCTAAAATTGGTTTAGTTCGTAAAATTATAGTGTGTCCCAAGGACATCCATGGATACATATAGGAGTGCCTTCCGGGCCAAATATGGAATCGGAGCAAGGCTGGCGATATAACCTTGAAAGGACCCTCCGCCTGTCCCTCAAATTAACTCACAGAACTCACCCATCTTCAAATATGTGTCACTCAATAGGGCTCCAGCTCACCACTACTCAACTCATTCAAACCCATATACTAGAAAGAGTGCTCACTGGAGCCACATCTGGCCATCAAACACCGAACGCAGGCGACAGCCACGCCAACGAAATGGACGTGACGGCTATCCTTGGGCTCGAAGTGCAAAACACAAAGACGGCACGCGACCTCGAAGAGCAGAAGCAAGACACAAATCGCTTGCTCCTCAAAGAACCCAAGTGGACAGAATCTGCAGTCAATCCGCAGTGTATGGTCAATGATATTGGGCTATCATCGGCCTCCACGCTGTCGCAGCATGACCTTGCCGACAAGCTTAAGGAGTCTCGGGAACAAAATGCGCAGCTGAGACGTAAGATGAAGGAACAGGAGGATATTATCCTCAACCTCGAACAATCCCACAAAGAAACAGTCCGCCGGTGTGCACAACGCTTAGCAAATATTCCGCACAAGCGTCAGAAACAGGCAAAAAGGATCGCCGACCTCGAGTCCCGAAAAGAAAGGCTAGTCAGTGATCTCGCGAAACAGACAAAGAAGACCGTCGACCTTCAGTGCCTAAGGGGAATGCGAGTTCGTGATCTTAAGAGACACGAAGAGATGATCGCCGACCTCCAGTGCCAAAAAGCAACGCTAGTTGGTGATCTCGAGAAACAGAAAAAGATTGTCGCCGATCTCTACTGGCAAAAAGAAATGTTATTTCGTGATCTCGGAGAACAAGGAAAGATGATCGCCAATTTCCGGTGGCAAAAAGGAATGTTAGTTCGTGATCTCGAGAAACAGGCAAAGACGATCGCGAACCTCCACTACCAACAAGGAATGCTAGTTCGTCACCTCGGGATACAAGGAGAGACACTCGCCAACCTCCAGTACCAAAAAGGAAAGCTGGCTCGTGACCTCGGGGAACAGAAAAAGAAGACTGCCGACGTCGAGAGCCAAAAGGCAAGGCTAGTTCGAGATCTCGAGAAACAAACCAGCATAGCGTCTGCGCTAGAAACACGAGACATGAAGGTGGAGAAAGTCATCTATCACATTGCTAGCATAATGTACTCGGAGCTCGAGTACCAAGAACAACTGATCAGCAAAACGAAACCAGACGGTGTGGAGTCTCTCGAGTTAATCCGTAATACACTGAAGGATCTGGTTGAAACCACTATCAGCAATGACGAGCATTCGGATACGATGCTCAATCATGAAGATGAGCCGCAGTTTGAACAGGTATATACGGACATATTATCTCGATTCAGAGACATACTCGCAAGACAGGCAAGGAAGCTCGATGTACAGAAAGGCATCATTGACGAACAAACACGCACTATCTTTGAACTTGAGGCGCAGAAACGGAAAGTTGCTAGCGAACTTGAGGAACAAACTGGAAAGTTGGCTTTGACGCTTGAATTCTTCGGAGAGGATAGTGGAGAATACGCTTGTCTCTAGACTAGGACAGATGCCCGTGGGAACAGCAATATTAATGGGATTGGCTGAATCATGCGTCTCCTGAGATTATCAGACTTGGTAGATATATACCATAGAGCGGACCCTAGGTCATCTACGATACCGATTCCAAGTCCGTCGCCTCGAGCAGGTACTTATAATACATATAGAACATTGTAGGATGGACTAGATTGAGCCGAATGGGCGGGATTTGATCACATAGTTCGAACAAAGATGGAAGAGTGCAGTCCAACAACATGCCTAGGTCTATAGAGCCCTCACTTCAGAGATCCTACAATTTCACCCTCCCACCACTCTCATTTCAAGGACTCTCCTTGAGAAGTGAGCTCACTTCCTCTCGTCTCTAACAATAGCCTTCCTTTATTCCTTTATCTCTGCATCTCACAACCCTTTGGCTATCATCCATGGATGTCCCCATGAACAATGTTCCAAGACTAAGCAGGGCCTTTATGTTCTTCGTCAATGATCCTTTTTCTCTCGACAACGACGATAATGAAACATTCATTCTCTCTTCTCCTATTAAATCAAAAAAAATACGACAAAGAATTACCTGATACATTAAACACTACTCTCACCACTCTCACTTGGAAGTCAAATTCCAGGATGTAGAAAAACATCCTTAGATACTCTTGGCCTAATCATTTCACAATCATATCATATCCCCAAAACAAGAAGCTCAAATCCTTCTCACTGCCGTTGCTGTCTGCAGAAACTGACGCTATGGTGTCGATGGCATCGCGGGCAATTGACTGCATGATGTTTTGGCCAGGAATGCGTCAACGAGTGTGAGGAGGAGTGACAGATGAACGGGTTTGCATTTGTATAGACCGGGCGGACGGGAGCTCGACTAGGACGGTATTTCCGTCGGGGATAGTATCGGAGGGCGTTTGGACGTTCAGAGGATGATAGGGTGGGTAGCATGGGTGGAATTGTTGAAGGCATGTTAGAATGTTGGAGGAGCCTCCTTGACTGGTATCCATAGATAATGTTAATTAACCTCGTTCTGTGGATGGATCTATATATCACCTACCTGTTCAAGTCTCGTTTTGTGTCGAATACAAATGTATGAATACAATTTGGTATATCGGATTAAGAAGTTCAGTTGATTAGGCTTATGTTTTCTTTGTTAGGATAACCATAATAAAAGGGCTTGACGGGAGTCTGGGAAACGCTAAGACCTAGACTATGCAAGGGCTAAAACTATTCAGTTTTGGCCCGACTATGCAAGGTATTAACCGGATCACAATCTCTGTATATAGAGTTGTACTTCGTACACATGCTGGGATTTGATCTAGGCAAAAAGAGCTGGTTATTGTGATAGATAGGAAATACAGACCCTAAGCTAATCTTGGTTAGGGCCATTGCTATTGTGGTATCATTGCGCATATAATATTGGTACTTCTTTTCGAAATTAAACGATCATTTCAATAGGGGTAAGACAAAGAAAAAGGCCTATATATCCGCATAGTTCGATAAAAGGTGATTGTTGGTGAGACACTACCATACTCGATAGATACTATGAGTATCTTAGAGCTCGTTTACTGATATTAATGTCTTGAAAACGAGGAAATATTTATTCTAGGCTATAGATACTCTAAACATACGCTTCAGTCTATCGTACATGATCTATATTGTACAAGACACCATTGACTTATAAAACCCTATAAAAATCCCCAAACCCCGCGATGGCGGGGCAAAAGCACCCATAGATACATATCAAGTACCCCCATTCCTCAATGCTCTTTTACACGATTCTCTTTATTACTTAGAAACAAACAGAATAAAAGGCCAATATTCTACTTACAAGTTGAGTTCGTACACGTGGCGGAGTTCAGAACTCACCGGGGCGGAAATCCTTTCCACTTTTCCCACAATCCCGCAACCCACTTTCAACAACCACCCTTGGAATACCCTTGAATAATAGCCCAAAATGCCCGATAAAGACTCTGGCACCCCCCGTGTCTTCCTCTACCGACACGGTATGTCCCATAATGTCAATATCATCTTCTTTCTGTAATCTAACTAGATTTTAGGGCAAACGGAGTGGTCCAAGAACGGACGGTACACCGGAATCACTGAGCTTGAGCTCACCCAAGATGGTATCAACCAGGTCACTGCATCTGGCAAGATGATTGTCGGATCTGGCAGACTGATTGACCCCGCCAAGCTTGCGCATGTCTACATCAGTCCTCGCAGGCGAGCGATGCAGACATTTGAGATTGCTTTCTCTGATGCCGATAAGCAGTCGCTTAAAGATGCGCAGAAGATCTCTGAGACAGACAGACTGGCCGAGTGGGACTACGGTCTGTATGAAGGCCTGTTGACTAAAGAAATTCGGGCCTTGAGAAAGGAGCATGGTCTGGATACCGAGAGCGAGTGGGATATCTGGAGAGACGGCTGTGAGAATGGAGAGTAAGTCTTTTCTTAGAAAAAGAAAAACTTTGGGGTTTAGGCGCAGGCGCCTACGATAGAGTATATCTGACCAGATCAATACAGGTCTGCGCAACAGGTGACGGACCGTCTTGATAACCTCATTCAAGAAATTCGCGCGATCCACAAGGACAACATGCACGGAGAGAACCCTTCTGATATCTTGCTTGTTGCACACGGACACTTGCTTCGTGCCTTTACCAAGCGCTGGCTGGGATATCCTATGGAGTTCCCTCTTTCTCTGATGCTGGACCCTGGCGCTGTTGGCGTCCTCAGGTAATTCTCTTTTATCCCGCTTCACTGGCCTGGCAGTTAACCTTTTTCCTATTTGCAGTTACCAACATCACAACATTGACGAGCCTGCTATGTTGGTTGGATACGGATACCCGCTGCAGGAATGATCTGATATGTCTGGATAGTGTACATTTCGTAGAAGTTAACCGGAAGGTTACTAAATATAGACTTGATACATGGTGATAGCAAGTGACCTCAGGGGTCGTAGAATATGTATTCATAGCCCAACCCTTAGTCCATCTAACGTATCTCGAGGGGTCTATTTAGGCGTATTTCGTTGTTTATATCCAGTAAATGTACTAGATGGAAAATATGCCGAGAAAATCGACCATGTGCCCACGCGACTGGAACCGGGGACGTCATAACTTCACTAAAATCTTCTCTTGAAACGCACCGAGGCTGTACTTCAGATCATCCGGGGGAAAAGAGCAGTTCATCAAGTCATGAAATTCATCTGGCAAGTTCAGAAGCTCAGCCCTACTGCCAAGCCATCCCCGCCATGGTGTCCCGTTCGCCTGACCTGGCCAACTGACAACCTATATGGACCTGCCCCTGTCACCCACCTAAATGTTATGTCTTCACTCCAAAGATGACATCAATACGAGTTTCGTCAAAGGCTGACAAAATCAGGTGGGAACGGAGGCTCTTGGCTGAAGGGCACCGGATGGCACTAACACTAAATCGTTAACTAACGGGGGCTAGCTATATGATCGTCTATCCCCTGATGAGTTCCTTTAATTTCTTTTACATCTTTGCGCCCTGGCATGTGCTTTTTATTTTCCTCGGTCTTGACTCTACTACTGTTTTCGCCATAGAAACACTTCAAAGACTGAAAGCGAAGTCGGCGCCAATATCATGCCGCATCACAAACCAGACGAGTTGTCGGTCGCCGATGCCAGAAAGGAGGTTTATGAGGCGACAGCTTCCACGTCTCCAACACCTGTGCAAGAAAAACGCGGCTCAGCCTTGCTAAATTTCTTCTCATCCTTTCTTGGTCCTAAAAACCCACTCGCGCACCCAGCAAACCCACGCAAGCACACCGTGTGGCTGTTAGACAATACAGCGTACCAACCGGTAAATGAAGAAACAGACGAGAACCAGCCATGCTGGAACGCCGAAGTAGTCGCCTGCATTTTTGAAACTGAAGGCCGAAGAGATGTAGGCAACCTCGTCGCCGCGATCGCCGACTACATCGGACTGGACGGCGACGTCGGCGGTGACGGCGAAGCACGCCAGCGCATCACAGAGCGCGTCCAGCCTTTCCTCAACCAGGTGTCGCCTGCGCGCACGCTCACGCTGCAGGTACCCATGTCCCGGCGGGCGCAGTCACACCGACTCGGCCCGTCCGACCGCAACGGCATCATCAGCCAGACGGTCGATATGGGCAAAGTGGAGATGCACGACGGGGCGGTTGTGCGGCCTCGACTGCAGCATTTCGGCGACGAGGCTGTATCGATGGGCACGACTTTTGCCGCGCCGGAGGGCTGGCTGGTCATCTCGGATATTGACGATACGATCAAGCATACTATGACGCTCGAGCCGACGGGAATTATTCGCACGACATTTGCGGATATTCCTGAGCCTGTCGCTGGTATGCCAGAGCTGTATAAATATGTTCATGCTGAGCTATTTCCTGCGTGGTTTTATCTTTCTGCGTCGCCGTATAATCTTTACCCTTTCCTGCATGACTTCCTGGATGAACATTACTGCCCCGGTACGCTGGTGCTGCGTGATTACTCGTGGATGGATATCACAGGGCTTATCAAGTCGTTCACTGAGAAGACGCAGGAATACAAGGTTGATCGGATGGAGAAGATTCAGCGGTGGTTCCCGCGCCGGAGAGTGCTTTGTATAGGGGACTCGACGCAGATGGATCCGGAGGCTTATGCAGAGATGTATAGTCGGTATCCCGAGTGGATTCATGCTATCATCATTCGCAAGGTTAAGGACGTGGCGCATATGGAAGAGAAGAATGCACCAGCGAGGTTTGAGAAGGCGTTTGAGCATGTACCGTCACACATTTGGACGGTTTTTGAGGAACCGAAGGAGCTGTATAATTTTATTGATGGGCTGGGTATGGAAGACCAGGCTTTGTAGATGTAAGAATCTGTACATATTTAGTTGGATTGGCTATTTGCAGTTAGTGATTCTGTCTGATTCTGACAAACTTCTTTTTCTTTCCTAAAATTCACATAGGTGCAGTCAGTCATGAATTCATATAAGGGTCACTTTGGAAGTGAAATAAAAATTGTCATCGCCTGGATTGACCGGCGATCAGAAGAACGGCACGCGCGGGTCCAGGCGACATGGAAGGCAGGCAAACACCATAGCAAGCAGGTTGAGGGATAAGAAATACAAGAGAATCAACCCGCTAGGCTACAAGTTCCACCGTACCTTGAGGGGATAGGGCAATCAACGATCTATAACACGCAAGTAGGCACTCAGCTACAATTGATTTTGATATTCCATTCACACTACTCAGCTTCCGTGAACCGCAGACTTCCTACACTATATTCCCATGCCAAACTAAGTCAAATAAAAAGAAAAGATCAAATCTCAGCTCATTGCAATGGAATTGCTCGGGATTATCAACCTTGTGGCGATGTTGACCTAAGCCCTACATACGTCAAGATTAGGAAATGGCCTCCGATCTATACGATGGCAAAAGAGAAGACTCTACTTCCAAGGCCTCAACTTCTTTACGAGCAACTCATTGGAAAGACCTGAAATTCTCCAAACTACCTAACAAAATGCATCAAGATCCCAATGACACTATGCAGTCAGGCATATCAGACATACCCCCCACGCAACCCGTCGTGGAGCACGACCCAAAACACCCATCACAGCCCTCAACACGCACCCCAGAAGCCATGCAACAGCCGCCTGAGTCCCCAAGACACACTTCAGAAGCCATGAAGCAGCCTGAGTCACCGAAACACATCTCAGAAGGCAGGAAACCTCCGTCTGAGCCCACAGAAGACATGAAGCAGCCATCTGAGCCTCCAAAACGCACCTCATATGCCCCAAAGCCCACCTCGTCAACGCTGAACGACTCCGCCTTCACACCGCTGTCAATGCGAGCCCTCTACTACACCCCGGACGGAGCAGACAGCGACACACCGGACGGGATCCCGGAAGGAGAAATCAGCGACGCCATCTCACCCGACACAAGCACCAGCATCGTCCGCCAGAAAGGGACGAACCTCGTCTTCGATCCTGGGTTCCCAACCCCACAGCCCTCCCCCTCAGCAATACCTGCTGAAGATCTCCACAGCAGCCTTCTGTCACGACGAGATCCGTCTCGCTGGACTCCTCAACCCCCCCGAATACCACGCCGCAGATTCCACTGCACAGTCTCTGCGGGACAATCATCAGCACGCCACGCGAAGACGACGAGCGGGAAGAAGGCCCGAAGTTCAAGATCGGCGATGTAGTCTTCGGTGTGGTGAGCTATACGCGTGACGGCGGAGCCGCAGACTACGCAGTTGCAACTGAGAGCGAGCTAGCGCTGAAACCGGATAATATCACTGTTGCTGGAGCAGCAGCGCTTGCGTTACCAGCATTGACAGCTTGGCAGGCCCTTTTTCGATATGCCGGGCTTGATCCCGACGTGCCGGGCGGGCTGAGCGAGGTCAGTGAGGAGCTCGGGGGTGGGAATGGGATGGGGGGCTGGCTTTGGCAGCGTCAACGCCGCCAGTCTGTGCTCGGTAGCCAGGATTATGGCTACGGGCACCGCAAAAGCACAGTCGCCAGTAACGGCGGTCTGCTAGAGGGGACAACCAGTGGTAATGGTAATGGGAACGGGAACGGGCGTTGGATCTGGCAGTGGAATCGCGGCGGCTCGAAACCGAATGGCAATGGTAATGGCACCGCCAATGGGAATGACGCTGACATTGACCACATCCCTCCCGGTGCTAGAGCGGCCAACCCCACTCGCAGTCATATGAATGTGCGTCGCGAGAGCCTAATGAGTCTCCTCAGCGGTAATCCCAGCGGCAAGAAAACCATTCATCGTGCCGCCAGCACAATTGACCCCAATCCCAAGCGTACTGTCCGTCGAAGCAGTTTAATCGGCCTGATCAAAGGCAGCACCGACCCTCCAGCTACTCGTGCTGCCAGCACAGTCGATTCCGCAGCTAATGGCGATGCCGACAACAATACCCGTGGCGCCAGCCTCAACCGCACCAACGGCAACGCTACCCCTGGACGGCGTGCCAGCCTGCTAGGAAGCATAATTGGCAACGCGAATACCAACGGCAACGGGAGGCAAAAACCGCCTAAGATCCGAGTCCTCGTCACCAACGCCCGTAGCAACGATATCGGCCGCATTGCGGTACAGATCCTGCGAGCTGATTCGCTCTTCCCCGCGCCCGTCCGGCCGTGGATCTGTGTAACCTGCACGCAAGTCGAAGCCGACATCATTGAGAAGGACTGGGAAGTGGACGAGATAGTCATCATCCCGCACCTCCCCTCACGGGAGGAGTGTAATATCGAGAAGGTGTTCCGCGCGCGCCGCTGGGAGCCGGTTGATATCGTGCTTGACTGTTCCGGCGGCGAAGTATTCCGCGCGGCTCATGCTGCGGGTGTTGTTAAGGACTATGGGGCTGTGTTGACTGTTGTGGATGGCCAGGTTGCGCTGCAGTCTCCGCTTGTTCCTGAGAATGATGTTCTGGGCGAGAGGAGGCGTGGGATTAAGAGCCGGTTTGTGCCTGTTAATCCTGACGGGGCGGCTATGGAGCGGATTGCGGAGTTGGTTGAGGAGAGTCTGGTCCGGGGGAGGGAGATTACGGTTGTTGATATTCCCCGTGCGGCGGATCTGTTGGCTGCTGGAGCTGCTGGGACGGCGGGGAGTCGACGTGGTGGGATGGTAGTTGTTAGGGTTAATAGTGTTTAGATTATATGCATTCTAATACAAAGATATCAAAAGATCAAAGGCAAGAAGCAGTGCCGAGGAAAGCAACCTAGGGTTATCAATCTGAAAATATTGGGCCACTTACAAGTTCAGGCCAAAAGAGCACATTCGCAATGCCACGTCTCAAAAGCCAAGTTCAAGAAGAGAAGAGAAGAGAAGGGAAGAGAATAAAACAAAGGGTGAAGTAAATCGAAGTTAATGAGATATCCCCGTTCAAGAACAGGTTTTGACCTGATGATTCCATATGAAAAGAGGAAAAAAGAAAGCGACGCTCTGCCCCATCCCACAAGATCAAACTACATGAACAGAAGAAGAAACCGAAGTTTTGTGGCCGAGGTGCAAGGCATGAGAGAAGGTGAGAAAGAAGTCGTGAAGAAACAAAAGACAATGTATTACGCGGTACCTCCGTTAAAGTAAAGAATCAAGTCTGGTAAAAACGCTCAAGCATGCGGCGACAATCTGTTTGTTGGTTAGCACGAGTCAGGTGTTGAGCACGGTATCAAGTGCAGCTTACCTCCATCTGAAGCTCTTTATCCTTGTTTCGATTGATCTCCTCATTGACAACTTGAGCCAAATTGGCTCCAATCGCCTGCGAACCTCCAGCTTTCCGGCCAAACGGCCATTGCGAATACTCGGCCAGCAATTCATCCACCTGCGCGAAAGCTCTCTCGCGAGCCTCGTGGCTCATGGTGACTAAAGCGTTCTCGAGGACGTTGGCGGCGTATGCGGCGCAGACCATGGTGATCGAACGAAGGTATCGGTATTCGGCGTCTTCGGGGAGCCACGGGCTAGGAGGGATAATCACAGTGCGGTTACTGCAGATGTTGCGCACCCGTCGGTGGAGCTCGTCTTTCGCGCCGCCGTCAGCCACGGGATGCGTCGCCATGTCGAAGAGAAGGAAGTTGCGCTTTTCGGTCCGTAGAATACCCTTGTCCACAAGACCCTTGGCCAGTCGTTCCCGGACTTGCTTCAATTGATATCCGATCTTCATCAAATTCCAGGTTTCGCCTACAAACAGCCCGGTCAGTAAGGACTCTGTCGCAACCCGGATTCCTGCTCTGGGCTTATCTCACCACTCAACAAATCAATCCATGAGTTGACGCTCATCTTCTCACTTGACTTCATCATCTTCAGTGTCTCGTCCAGCAAGACCTCCCCAGTCAATGTATCGTCGATGACCTCGATGACGCGGTCGGCCAGGGGGAAACGCCGCCGCGACGAATCCTTCTGCATACTTATACGGCCGCGGAGCGCTAGCTCAATGACGATACACCCTCGCAGGGCGTAGGAGATGTTTTCGTTCCAGAAAGACAGATAGCCCTGTTGCGGCGCGGACACGATGTCAGCGATCGGAACCACAAATCAATCAAATCAATCAAAAGATAATATCCATGAAGTCTCACCTGTTTATCCTTCAGACCTAGCAGCAGGATATCCTCCATCAGAGTCAATTTGGGCTGCTTGCCCCGTTCCTCGTTTTCACTGATGTCGCGGGGATCGAACGCGATCTTGTGGCCATTCTCTGCACTGGTAAACGATGTCTCCGGTCCACGGTTATCCATCGCAGATCCATTTCGGGAAATTGGTGATGACACTCGACTGTCATCTTGTTCGTCTGCCCCAGCGACTCGACCGGCGCCTCTGCGGCGAGTCAAGCCCCCGGCTGCTGAGGCCATGAGATCGGGTCGGGTTGGGTGGGGGGGGATCAAAAAGGGAAGGAGAGAGATGTGGCCGGATATGACCAACGGCTTCCGATCTATATGCCGGTGGGTTTGAGCTGTCTGGGTTGATGAGATGTTGAGAGGGACCAGACCGAAAGTCTGCGGTTGAAGTGGGACTTTCGGTGTCAGGGGAAACCAGGGACCGAGTGGGCTTAGCCAAAATGATACAGTGTCGGGTATATTGAACTAAACCCGCCTAATTACAAAAGGAATAGGCGACTGCAATGAACGGGATTGTGAGAAGGGTGAAGGTCAAAGTTAGTGTAGTTCGGTGATGTGGCTCTTTTGAGTATCTGCGGGTGCTTTAAACGCCCATAAAGGACATTGTGGTAATCTCCCCCGTTATGAATCTATCTGATGGCTCTAATTTTTAAAAAGAAAATATCAATACGGCAATATATTTTACTTGGCATATATCTACGATCTCTTGCTCCATTTAGATATAAGATATACCTATGGACTTTGTGTTATGGTCTATTGTTCACTATTAAATTTTAAAAATATGTAGCCACGAGACCAACTCTAGAGGATACATCCATGCATCCATGTACAATCGTATGATATACAGAGGTAACTGGGTACCTAAATATATACATAGGTGTATATCTATCAAAAAAGAAACGGCGGAATGGACTATTAAGCTGAAAACATACCAAAAATGACCAGACGCATTTGGTGATTATCACCACGTGGTACCAATGCTGCTTCAAAATTGCATAAATTGCACTCAAATGATATACACGATATTGGAAAGAAAAGCCACTGGCATGTATTCAGCATACAAAGGAGCATGTCGAGTATCACTGTGTCCAGCGAACCCCACTGATGCCAACATCAACATCCCGATTCTTTTTCTATCCGATTCTCCAACCGATCCCAAGTTTTCAAATTAAATATTTAGTGGGCTGTGAAAAGGTCAGCAATTGCTAAGAGGAGGGAGCTATAGGATTCACATACCATCGGGCTGGGCCAGAATGTACTCGACAGCCTTCTCAACTATGCGTAATATTCATGTCAGCTCTGGTTGGCGAACTATAACGAGTCCATCAAGTCCTAACTTACCGCTGTGGATCTGGTCAGCCTCCTTGTCGGGGATCTCAATGCTGAACTCCTGTTGAAATAGTTAGATATCCATCATACAATTGATGCTTTTCCGAGGGAAACCGGGCGCGTACCTCCTCAATGGCCATCACGACCTCGACGGTGTCGAGACTGTCCAGACCAAGGTCGTTCGAGAAGTGGGAAGCGCCGTTAATCTGTATGTCAAACGGGGTTAATTGATGAATGTTTTCGGTCGCCTCTCCCATAGCTCATAGCGATGTAGAGGTCACGACGGTGCATCCGACAGATAATCACTGACCTTGCTGGCATCGGAGACCTAAATATGAAGCAAATCCAGTTAGCATTTTGTTTTTCGTGTATAGCCGATAGATCGCGAGATTCCCCGGGAAACAACATGACGCACCTTGTCGAAGTTCTTGAGCAGGTTGACTATCCGGCCCTCAGCCTCGGTCTTGCTCAGACCGGCAGGAGCGGAGTAGAGGCGGACACCCTGAGCGAAGCAGGGAGTGAATTGAGGGACCTGGGCAGCAATGGGGGGAGCTGCGGATGTGGAAGGGAGCCGGGGTCTTGATGACACGGGGGGCGGAAGCCTTCAAGGAACGAACAATGGCGGAGCGGAACATGATGAAATAGATTGATCGGAAAAGCGCAAAGGCTGAAAAGATCTAAAAGTATTAAAAAGAAATGGTGGAGAGTAAAAGGGTAGAGATTGGGGGAAGACGGCTGCCGCAGAAGAGGAAAGATGTGAGGTCGCGCCCAGCAAAATCCTGCGGGCCAATCAACGCCCGACAGAAAAGGAATGACCTAAGCCCCGAAACCTGCAAACCACCACAACCTGAGACTTGCTCCCCTTCCACCTCCAATTGAACCTCGATTCCCCCATCCAACCTCACTCTCCTCTCCAACACAATGGCCGCCACCCGCTCGGTCGCGAGGCTAGTCGCCTACCGTCGGCCGACCCCCTTCGGATTGCTGGGCTCGACCGCAAACTTCTCTTCCTCGACGTACCGCGCAGCAAGCCCAGCGGGACCCCCTCAGGCCGGGTTCCGCCTGCCCCGCCCAAGCGCTGGGATCAGGACTCCGAGTCCGCCTTGGACAAGGCCAGCAAATACTTCCTCATGGCAGAGATCTTCCGCGGCATGTACGTGGTGCTCGAGCAGTTTTTCAGACCACCGTAAGTCCTTGTCCCACACAACCTTGCCGGCGATGCGGATCGCAATCCAAAATCGATGGCATCGAAATATATCGACTAATTGCGTCGCCATGTGCTTAGTTACACCATCTTCTACCCCTTCGAGAAGGGTCCTATCTCCCCCGTTTCCGTGGTGAACACGCTCTCCGCCGGTATCCCACTGGTGAAGAGCGCTGCATTGCTTGCAAGCTCTGTGAGGCCATCTGCCCGGCCCAGGCTATTACCATTGAGGCCGAAGAGCGTGAGGACGGAAGCCGCCGGACGACCCGTTACGATATTGATATGACCAAGTGCATTTACTGTGGCTACTGCCAGGAGAGCTGCCCTGTGGATGCTATCGTTGAGAGTGAGTCCAGCATCCTCTGACTACATCTCAATTGCCCAACATTCAGACCGGATTACTAATATATTGTCTTTCAGCCTCCAACGCCGAGTATGCCACCGAGACTCGCGAGGAGCTTCTGTACAACAAGGAGAAGCTCCTCTCCAACGGTGACAAGTGGGAGCCTGAGATTGCAGCTGCTGCTCGTGCAGATGCTCCCTACCGATAATCTATTTCCCTCCAACTGGTTGGCATCTTCAGGCAAATCCATATCTATTCCAAATATTAGATGTGTGGACACGAAGATGCTGGTCGCAATACCCATTCAAGAGGCACGATTAGTGCCTTGAAAAACAAGAAAGATTCTAAGCCCCATCACATCACTGTACATAACTTGCCCTCGACTGTGTTATCATCTTGTACTAGTCAATTCCTAAGGATATATTTTTCCCTGGAAGCTTGGCTCCCTTGTCTCTTTTTATTTCCTATGTTGTGGAATCTAGCAGCTCTTTTTTCTCTGGTTGAGATTCAATTCTTCAATTCAAAATATATAAATCCGGTCAATCCATCTTATATCTACGCTGAACACTTTTCCGCTAACCGGATGTGTAGTTATGGTGTATCTTGAGATCTATAGGTTTACATAGGATAAGCATAAGACAAAAGGAACACATATACAGCTCGATAAGAAAATGATATTGTATTCACAGATAAATCAAATCGCTACCGATGCTGTCATGCATAGACATAAATTGACAGGCCAAGCTGCCAAAGACACAAACGCAAACACCAGGCACCTTGATCTCCGGACGGATATTTCCCAGTTCAAAGTCTCAAAACACTTTTTTTCGTTGGTTCGGGGGCTTCTATGTGCGATCTTGTTTCAGAGATGTAATCATCCAAGAGGCAAAGACCGGTTTGAAGGGTATGCAGAGAAAAGAAGAAGAAGAATATAAAAGAAGACAGGTTGAGGTAAAAGCCAGTGAGAAAGGAAATAAATATTTAAGCCACGGGATAGAGGCTCGTTTATTTCTTCTTGCCACCACCCTTAAAGCTGCCCTCGAATCCAGGACGAGCAGCCTTCTTCTTTCCACTGGTAGACTTCTTCTTACCACCCTTGGCACCCTTCTCATCGCGGCGCTTGCGAAGGTTCTCCTCGCGCTTGCTCTGGCGCTGTTCCTTAGACTTGGCGACAGTGTCGATGCGGTCTCTCCACTCGCGCTCAGATCTCTTCTTCGCCGTTTCCTTGCGCTTGAGGGCCTTCTTCAGCAGAGAGGTATCGTCGCGGACACGCTCGCCGTGGGCACGCTTCTTGGCGTTCAACCAAAGGTCCTTGTCTTCAATGTCGGCTCGCTTGGTAGGGTCCATCTCTTCGAGGCGGGCTTTCTTAGCTTCAGCGGCCTTCAGCTGCGAAGCCGGGTCACGGGCACCGCGGGTCTTCGGGGTTTCGCGCACGCCGGTTCCAGTGAGATCGGTCTGCTGGCCGTCTGTGAACATCACACGGCCGAAGGAGAAGTTGTTGCTGCCGGATCCGACGGACTCGGCAGGGGAGCGGGGGGATGCCAAAAGGGATCCAGAGCCACCGGGCGAGAAGCGGCGGGCCATGGCCTCGTCGTTCTTCTTTTCTTCCTCAATCTTGGCCTTTTCACGCAATTCTTTCTTGTGTGCCTTTCTTTGCTCGGCCTTTTGCCGGCGGGCTTCGATCAATTCTTGGCGGTTGCGTGCAGGCTTGCCGTTGAGTCCATCTGCGTGGCGCTTAGCCCGGAGCTCGTCCAGACGCTTCTGTAGACGCTGCTTCAGCTCTTCGGGTGTATGCTTGAGAGGTTTGGGCTCTGAGGATTTGGCTTCGGTGGAGGTGGAGGGAGGGACGATGGAGGAGATGGAGGAAGTGCCGGATTGAGAATTTGAGGCATCGAGGCTAGGAGAGTCGGTGGTAGAAGGGGCAGAAGAAGGGTTTTCCTCTTCAGCGTTAAACTCAATAGAGAACCCTTCCTCAACAACACCGTCATCTTCTTGGTCGTCATCCTCTTCATTTTCGGAGGCTTCAGTGTCCTTGGCTGCAGTGCCGTTAGGCTTGGTTGCAGATTTTTCGGAATCCTCGGTTGGGGTAGTCGATGACTTTTTGCTCTGCTGAGCCTTCTCCTTCCGAGCAGCATCCTTGGCCTTCTTTTTCTCCATTTGGGCGGCCTTTTTCTGGGCCTTCTTCTCTTCCTTTTGCTTTTTCCGTGCCTCAGCCTCTGCTGCCTTGGCAGCGTCCGGCTTATCAGTTTTTTCGACCTGCTTTTGCTTCTTCATATTGGCGGTTCCGCGGTTCAGTCCTTCCTTGGGAGCCTCCGTGCCCATCTCTCCGTCGGACGAGTCGGACTCGAGAGTGCCGTCCTCCCGCTTTCGCTTGCGTGCGTTTTCATCCATCACATCTTTGGCGGTCTTAGCGGCATCAGGATTCAGCTTCGCCCGCTTCGCCTCGCGTGCTTGTTCTTTGGTTTGCTTTTTACGTTGCCATTGATCCTAAAAGTGAGGATGATGGTCAGACAGAGATCTTCGGAATGAAGGATAGAGGCAAGAACACAAGCTGACTCCAATCCCAAAGACGTCAACTTGTAGAATGTAACAGGGCTACATACACTTGTATCTTCTTCGCCATAATAGTATTTGGCGGGGATCAAAGACAGCAGACCGTCAAATGCCTGCGCATGGCTGCGCAGCCGTTCCTTGAAGGCAGTCAGCTCGCCATCCTTGCGGGGCATTCTCCGAGTGCACAAACCTCGATATCATCCATAATCCTTTCCCGTAGACAGAAATTGTAATCCGGAAGGGAAAGCTCGACAGTCAAGCGCAACGAAAAATTTGGGGGGAGGAAATCTTGGCGCTACAATTGTCTCCGCTTCGGTTGGTTCACCGCCTTCCCACAACAATTTTGCTCTGTTGGTCTGTGCGTTGATCGAGAGGTTCCTGGACGTCGGTTGATTGTTCCCTCTCCTGTATTCTTTCTATTCATCCTTTTCCATTGTGGTCCTTCTGTCTTGATCTTCTATTGATTCATTGGTCATGCAATTTTTTTATTCAATTCATGAATATACACCTAATGACCAATAAAGTGGATATCTTCTCCATTTCCATATCAAACCTGATCCACGAGGCCAGTCGCAATATCTAGTCCAGGGCATTCCTCGCTTTCGATACTCGTCACATTCCCATACGGCCAAGGATCTGTCCATATAAGATCGAACCTGAAACTGTCAGTGCCAGGACATAATACAAGGCAAACAAACGAGCTTCCGTCGAAGAGAGTCGCGAGCTGATGAAGCTTCCACGGGAGAATCGCCTCCCAGGCATATTTATCCCAATGCGAATCTCTCACTAAAAAGAAGATATATGAAGATATGAGTACTTACCTCCCATCCGGGTATTCAATAGGCTCCAAGGCTCCAAGCTCCTTCTCAATCTCACCCATAGTCGAGTGCCGCCATGCAATCAAAATGTTGCCCGGTCCGTCATACGACCTGATCGTTTTAGCCACGCATCTCGCTTTGGTCCGCTTGCAGTGTGTGTCAACTGTGAGACCGAGATCTTTAGCAAGAGGTAGAACGGTTTCAAACGCGCGGCCATGTGCGCCATCTGCGGACAGAAAGCATATCGTTAGTCATGTCTATGAAAGTCAATATCCTGCGCGCCCTCATTTCGGGACTGTGCTATCAGTTTTGCTCTCGAGTCTTGTTGTAAACCTACTCTTTTTCACATGAGGTGCCATGATATACCCTATGTTGTACTCCGATTCTTGCCCGAAAACATGTCTCAGGCACTGTGCCCGCTTGATCCCGTCTGAGGCCAAACCATGGTCTTTTGGATCCCTGGGCTTCTCGCCGTGTCGGATCATGTAAACCGTTGGGTATGATTTGGCGGACGTGATGCCGAGACAGAAGCACAGAGCTGAGAGGACCGATTGCAACAGCATTTTTAGCACATAGACTAACTATAACCCAGTCATATACAAAGTAAGCACGTAATAGCTAATGTCTGGACAACGGACCAGTGAAGGACCAAGGAGATTGATGAACAATTATAAAGGTGCGGAAAAAGCATAACCTCATGAAAAGTTGTCCATGCGGGTCGGGTATCCTTAGCTCTAGTTATAAGTGCAGGACAACCATGACCCAGATCCTATTATGGCGTCTCGTCTCACCGAAGAGAAAAACAGGGCTGACACTAAGAAAAAGCAAAGAGTGGATCAGCAGATAACATTCCAATTATCATCCAGCACCAAAGGCACCAAGCCCCAAAGGGGGATAGAGTTCTGGAGCACAGATGAGCAGTTGACAAACTACAGGTGAGCGTTCGGTCTATATGCTATAACATTGCAATTTGATTGGTCTAGCATATTCTGCATGTCCACTGCACTCCGGTGATCCGCTCGGGGTGGGAATGATCTCGGAGATCAGTACATAATATACCGAAGTGTCTAGTGGTTTAAGTTTATAGCACATGTACAACATACAATGTAGTTTGGAAACATATTAATCAGATCTAACGACGATCAAAAAACCGTGTGTTCGGAGTATATATCGGATGAATTTGGACTCTCGCACTTGGCATCTGTGCAACGTAGATATACATGAGGATCCAAGGGATGGATTAAGCTACTGTCACGGGTCAAGTCGCATGCAATAGTCCAGTGTTTAAACCAGTCATGCGTCGATCATGATGGATCACTCAACACACCAGAAATGAGAGCATCTGAGTGGTTCACGGGATCAACAGATGGGATGTGATGGGGTTGTGTGGTCTGATGACGATCTCCTTAGCTAGTATTCTTTGTGGCTAGGGAGGCAATATACTATATCTAGTTATTCTGTGATTCTTGGTCGTATGCCCCTGGAGATATATATTGTTGACACCCCAAATTTAAATGGTATAGAATTAATTAATGCTGCAACCTCCCATCATGGGAAGGTCACTTGAACATGTCATCAATATGATTTCACTCCAATTTAACTTGTTTTAGGGATATGAATTATATACGTATCAGGATACGGCGAATGGTGTGCCGGCTTGCTAATGTTCATCGACCATCGATATTATCATATGAGGTGACAACCGTAGATATATATAATCTTGGCTTTACTATTATTTCTAAAGAGTCGGAAGTTAGGGACTTGTGATGTCAATAGGTTGCCAGGAGAATATTAGGATGACGCCACCTTAGTCGCAACGATTCTCCAAATTCGGGTTCTGTTCGGGTATTATAGGTCGGACAGAAATGAAAGACGGGGCTTAGCGTAGGCAGCCACATAAAACTGGCCCAATACAGAATGCCGAGAGCCACTATGGACCCAGCGGAGAGAGAGATTCTGGAAGATCCGTGGAAGCCGAGAGATCCGCGTAATCTATTTAGGGACCGATCTGGTAATGTGTAAACACCGAGGTTCAGCCTGGCATAGCCACGGTTGAATATCGTAATATGTTGGGAGTGTGGCGGTGTAATTAACCTAATCAGGCTGAGTACATTTCTACCTTGGTACCTATGTAGGTATAGACTAGTAAAATGAAGTATACAAAGTACTAAAATGTACTAAAATGTACTAAAACGTACAGGGCTGAACAGGCTGACGCTTACCAAAGGCTGCGCCCCTCCGTAAGTTTTCGCTTGCCATGTGGGGTTCTTACCGTCAGCCCTGTGGTTACTTGGGGTCACCTGTTATAAAAGGTTGACCCCCTCAACTTAACTTCTCTTCATCACTTACTCACCTTACACTACTCTTCCATCTTACACTTCCACTTTCCTCTCCCACTTTCCTCTCCCACTTTCCTATCAAGCCAATTCAAATTACATCATGTCCGGCTACGACCAGTACAACCAGGGTGGCTACGGCCAGCAAGGTTATGGCCAGCCAGGTTACGGCCAGCCAGGTTACGGTCAGCCAGCTTACGGTGGTCAGCCAGGTTACGGTGGCCAGGGTCACGACCAACAGCAACAGTACGGTCAGCCTCAACATGGCTACGGCCAGCAAGGCTATGGCCAGCAGGGTGGTTCTTCCGACTACTACGCCGGCCAGCAACACCAGCAGCAGGGTTACGGCCAGCAGCAGGGTGGCTCTTCCGACTACTACGCTGGCCAGCAACACCAGCAGCACGGCTACGGCCAGCACGACCAGGACCGTCAGGGGTATGTACTTCACTGACATTTCGCTTCGTTCACCATGTACTGACAGATCACAGTGGCTACGAGCAGCAGCAGGGTGCCCCGGGTGAGGCCCAGGATGGCGAGCGTGGTATTGCCGGTGCCCTCGCAGGTGGTGCCGCCGGTGGCTTCGCTGGCCACAAGGTCAACCACGGTTTCCTTGGAACAATCGGCGGAGCCATCATTGGTAGCATCGCTGAAGACGCCGTCAAGAAGCACCGCAACTCCGACAACCAGTCTCCTCCTCAGTACGGTGGCCCCCCTCCTTCCAACAGCGGCAGCGGTGGCTCCATGATGGATCAGCTCGGTGGCTTCTTCAAGAAGTAGAAGGTTTCTGATGGACTTCCCTCGACTTCCCTCTTACGTTTTCTGCCTGATGACACGGCTTTCATGAATTCCTTTTCTTTGCTATTATTATCACAATGGGTCGGCATGCATTCTTTTTTTTCCCTTCCAGCAGATCGCTTTCATTTTTCATGGGGTTTTTTTTCTTCGCCCTCGAGCGGCTTGTACCATGACAGAACTGCGTTGATATCGGAAATCACCTTTTTTGTGATCTGACCATACTTTTCAGAATTGCAACGTGATTACCTTGCTGAACCATTCCTTGTAGAAAACAGTAACTACCTAGGTAAACAGTAAACGTTAAATCATAATGGTAAGACACTGCTGTGTATGAGAAGTAGTGTAGCGGGCGGAGAGGCCAAAACACCCCAAGTGGAATAGCGTAGGGCCTCAGGCATCAAATGCCAAGCCCGACAAAAGTTCGAGCGGACAAGTCCCCAGTAATCTCCTTGTCAGACACATCTGCAATTTAGCATTCCCAAAATGATTATACGGAAGCTTTGTATGCGCCAGAGTGAGTGTGGTCAATTGCTGCTACCATGTTAAATGTCCCTGCTAACAACATCCCACAGGCCGCCAGCTCCTTGCTCTGAGTCGACGAGCCCCGATCTCGAGTCGCTTCCAATCGACATTGCCCGAAAGCCCAGTCGAGACATTGCAGACACCTATCAGAGATGAGATCTCTCGCTCAGAAAACCCCCTCTTTGAGATGGTGCAGGCACAATCTGAGGCCAGCACACCCGCACAACAAGAATTCACATCAGACGAGCCACAAAGTGAGCCTCGAATTCCTTCTCGGAGACTACTCCAACGCATAAACTAACCTCATCTCTTTTCTCTTCCCCCCAGGAAGCAATTTCAAAAAGCTCGGCACAAGCGTGAAATCCTCCTACGACCCCGAAAATGTCATCCGCAACCCCCCCAAGCCATCCCAGATATCCCTGGAAATGCTGCTCGCAGCAGGAACACACCTGGGCCACTCGACCTCGCGCTGGAACCCACAGAACTCGCGATACATCTTCGGTATCCGCGAGGGAGTGCACATTATCTCGCTGGACGTAACCGCCGCGCACCTCCGCCGCGCCGCAAAAGTAGTCGAGGAAGTCGCCGCACGCGGTGGACTAATCCTCTTCGCCGGCACGCGGAAGGGCCAGAAGCGGGCCGTTGTCAATGCGGCGTCGCTGGCAAAGGGCTACCACATCTTCGAGAGGTGGATCCCCGGCTCTCTGACGAACGGCGAGCAGATTCTCGGCCATTGTGAGACGAAGGTTGTCAACGCGCTGGACGAGGAATTACCCAATTTCAAGTCTGATCTTGCTGATCGCCCGTCGCTTAAGCCTGATTTGGTGATTTGTCTTAACCCGCTTGAGAATGTTGTCTTGCTGCATGAGTGTGGGCTTAACAATGTTCCTACTATCGGTGTTATCGATACCGATGCGGATCCTACGCGTGTTACCTACCCGATTCCCTCGAACGATGATAGTCTGCGGGCTACTTGTCTTATTGCGGGAATCCTTGGTCGCGCTGGTGAGGCGGGTCAGTTGCGTCGGTTGAAGATGGCACAGGAGGGCCGGACTTCTTACACTCCTATCACAGCCCAGGAACTGCGTCTTGATCCGTTTACGGGTCTGGCTACTGGTGGTGAGGGACAGAAGAAGTAGGGGGATACCGTCTTGTGTCTTCTGTCTTCTAATTGCATTTTTGCCTTTTTTAAGTATCCGGTCGATTGCATTGAAACGACGGGACTCTGTACTGTATAGATGATTCCAGGTCTTGGTGTTGAGATATGTATTAACAACTTTGAGTCAATTTGGTTCCTTTTCTATTTCATTCCAGCTTGTAATGAGGGACGATGCATCAGACAGGTTCTCTAGGGCTTGAGCCTCTAGATCTTCGGTACGTATAGTTGGTCCAAGTGGAGGGAGAATTATCCAGATCTTCTGGGATCAAGCCCTGTGGGAGACAAAGGGCTCCAAGCTCTCCCAAGTCCTCAGGGCGAAATGAGAGACAGCTGGATTGTTTGCGAGGCCATGTCATAGACACGTAGGTATCCGCACACCGTGGCCATGTCCCCCGCGGCCACGACGGCATGCATGACGTGCCATTTTGGTAAATGGCAGTAAATGTATTTTGTAAGAAAAAGTAAGGAAAGGAAGACTAGAGCGCGGGATGCAAGCGCAAACCTCGCAAGTTTTGTTGATCTGAAAGAGAAAGAGAAGAGAAAGCACAGAAAAGAAGCTTGGAAGGGGAATTCTATTGCAGAAGTTGACATTGATGGACAGTTGAACGGCCACAATATGATTTCGCAATGGATATGGCAGATGATTGATAATGATGGTTGAGACCGCTCATTTCTGCATAGATCTCTGGACCGAAATTGAACTATGTGGAAAGAACAGGTTCTTCACGAATTCCGCTGGTTCACTGACTGTGCGCTCGTAAATCGGAGTAAGAAGTGGTATAAATGGGAAGGAGGAAGCCCGATCGAAACCGGAATTATTTAGACCATAAATTAAGAGTTGCCCTTCATTACCACGGATCGCCATACCACTAGGAATTGGTCATGTCTCTCCTGGGCGCTCTTGAAAATAGAATGTCACTGGAACTGGTATGTTTAAGCAGGAGACAAAGCTGCAAAAGGTCGTCAGCAGCTTCGATGTGCGTCCTGTCTAGCGTCTTTTACACACACTGCCATAGCAATAATCATACGTCTGATTGTGGCATTTTGTCCAGTCTCCTGTCCCTCTGTATGGATACATCTGCGTTGTGTCAGCGCTGGAAGTTGCAAGGTTCGACTGAACGTACCACTGATACTGAAAAGGAGTCGGAACTTGTATATATACAAAGGAGCATGGTAGAAAAGAAAAGCATGGAAGATGGTTAGAGTAAGATCAATATATGCGCTAGGACAAAGACCTGTAGGACCGGCCCTTTCAAGATGATGGAGCTACAAGCTACCATGGCTGGGAGATGAAGAAGGAAGAAACTCTTGCTATTGAAACTAGCAAGGAAAGACCTTTTATAGAGGCCACATTGGCAAACAAGCGTTCAATCTGCCACCAAAACAAGGAATCCATGTAGGATGGGATGGTCTTAACAAAAGATATTACGTTCTTGCGTTTGTCAACAGTGCCAATTATTTTACACATTGGCCCTCTCCTAGAATGTTTTACTTGCCTAGTGCTGAAGGTGTTCTTTGTACTGCGTTGATGCCACTATGTCAGTTTTCTCTATGGTTCTTGCGTGGCTTCTTTAGCAAACACCAACACCATTCTCGATGGAAACACTGAGCCCCCGGAAGTTGGTTTCAGGCTTCGATTTGAAGTATATTAAATTATAGAATATCATCATCCTAAAGTTTGCTAGTAGAAGTAGCATTATTCGGAATCCCAAATTTCGAAAGATCCTCCGTACTCTTCCCATCAATTGCCAACTCCGCAAGGGCACGACCAAACGCCGGCGCAAATTTGAACGCATGAGCAGCCCCCAGACCAACAATAATATCTTCGTTGTTTTTCAATGGGCTGATAATGAACTGTCGATCTGGAGTAATAGAGTATTGACAAGTGATAGTACGAAGCGGCTGACGGCCCTTGTCGGGCATGAAATCGCCCATGAACGAACAAAGCTGCTCCAGCAACTGCGGCGAGTGTACGTAGGTCCGTTGCTCAGGTGTCATGAAATTGTTTGAGGTATCGCGGGCAACTTTGATAGTCGACTCGCCAAAAGATGGAAACCCATAAAAGCAGGGATCACCGGCATAGATCCATACGGGAAAACGGCCGGGTTCCCAGACTGATTCGTATGTCGGCTTGAAGTATGTCACTTGCTCCTGCATCACTGTCAATGGAATGTGTATGCCAAGCGGAGCGAGGATCTTGTTGGTCCACGCGTCTGTGGCGAGGATGATTTTGGCTGCGTGGAACTGTCCCTTGGATGTTTCGATCATGACGCCCGAGCCTGATTTCTTCGGCGTCAATCGGTCCACTCGCGTGTGCTCCTTCAAAATTGCACCATTTGTCCTCGCTAGACTTTGCATAGCTAGGACAGTCTTGGTCGCATGAGCGATACCGGTGTCGGCCGTATATAACGTCTCGACCGTGTCTGGGATGTTGAACTGGGGCCAACGTTTGTTGACTTCCTTAGAATCAAGAACCTCATATGGCACATTTTTGGCATCAAGGCTTGTAGTAAAGTCAACGCGTGGAGGGGATGCACCCTTAGGGAAAAACATAACACCACCAGTTATCGTTAACAACTTTTGGTCTGTAGCCTTTTCCAGGTCGGCCCAGTCTTTGTAGGCTGATTTGGCCAGAGATACGTATTGGGGTGCTGCGTTTGCTGTTCTGACAATCCGTGATGTATCATGAGAGGCTCCGTGCACATGGCCCAGCTCGAACTGCTCGAAAGCAACCACTTTCTTGCCTCTTAGAGCGGCTTGATATGCAGCCGCGCTTCCCAGCACTCCAAGTCCAACAACTGCAACGTCAAAGTGTTCCATTTCTTCTTGTTGGATAGTTTTTTGTATTCAGAGTGAAGTCCCTACTAGATTAACCAACTCACGGGATGGCTTAAGGGCCTCCGTTTATGCTCTCGGTGGTACGGAGTAGTGATGTAGGACAGCCCGCTCACGTGCCAGTCCCAATAACCAACCTTGGAAGGGAGCACCTGGGCAGATTAAACTGGGACTGGGGTTGATGGGTTATATACTGGAACTTCTCCGTTTCCCGTTCATTGTACATAAACCGCGATGAAGCGATCAGGCTCCATCCTCCAAATTGCGATATCAACACTTTGTTATATTTTAAGTACAGAGAGGGTGTATACCTAGGTAGGTAACAAGCTCTATCGCTTTGGAAGAAAACGGAAAGCAACAAGATTCACAGTCTTGGTATCATCCACCTCGACAAACTCGCGGAATCGCTCAAACCCGCATTTCAACAGTACCCTCTGACTCCCACTATTGCTTGCTTCCGTGATAGCGATAAGGTGTTCATCGACTTCGCCTTCTCCAATCACCATTTCTTTCCGAACTCTGACTTCCCGCTGCGTCCGAGGTAACTCTGACCAAAATCGCAGCCAGGCGCTCAAGAACTCCGTCGCGATGCCTTTCCCCCAAGCCTCGGTCCTTAGCATGTATCCAACTTCAGGCCACCCATGCGTTCCAGGATAAAGATGACAACCGCCGATGCCGATAAGTTCGCCCGTTTCCTTCAGACAGATGGCACAATTGGCGGTGACAAGATCATTTGGTGGTAGGAAAGGATCCAGTTTGGATTTGGTCTTCTCGATACTCTCGTCAATGCACCCGGCGCTCGTCCACCTCATGACTTCTTCTTGTGTACGGAGGACATGTAGGGCTTCCAAGTCGGTTGATTGGAGGGCGCGGACGAGTAAGCGATCCGTTGTTATTGCGGGTCGCTCGCTATTTGCGGGAAGCGGGACTGTGGGCAAAAATGCCTTCACAGTTACAAATTCTTCCTTTGAGGCCATGTTGATGCTTTCGATGTTGTTCTCCTGGGAAATGCCTGTGTATGTGGTGGGGGTGAGTCACTTGCCTTGAAATCTGGGGAAATCTAGAGAAATTACCTCGGCCCAACTCCGAAGACCAATTATTGGTCCAGTCAGTTAAGCTGATCGTGAAATGTTCCATAAGTTCCAATACCTAAACTAATCAAGGAACGGGAGCCTTTGCGACTTCTAGAGTACTTCTTTGATATATTTTCTTTTTCCTCGCATTGTTCTCCTTTGCTCCATTGTCTCCAGTCTAGTTGCATTGATCGAGTTTCCTTTGAATTCGTAACGTCGTTCCGGTCTGGAATATATAAAAGCCAGCATTGCTCGCCATTGAACCTCATGAAAAAGACAATACCATACCAATAGATCTACGAGTTAGTAGACTCCTTGACAGACACTCTATTCCTTCCTCTCATCCAACGCTTCAACCGTTATCATAGAGCAGAATGGCCGACGATTACCGTCTATGGGAAAAGAAGGGACGGAGCCTACAGAAATGGATCGAAAACTACTGTGCATCAGATTGCCCGTTCCCCATTTCCACTTTCACTTTGACGCCCAAACACCAAGACTATATCGTCGATCGAACATCCGTGCATCTAGATGCAAAGCTACTAACTGCTCTCTCAACCTGAGTAACGCGAATTCCACCTATCGACAGGATAGCATTACGCTGCGCGGCGAAGGCCCACCAGTATGGTGGATTGGACCCACCGGGCCAGGAGTGATTTTTATTGATGATGTCTTTAGATCCAAGAGAAGCGATGACCCATACATATCCGAGTTCACCAAAGCAGCCTACAAAATGGATTTCCGCCTTGATAGCCTGAGGAATGTATTTGTGCACAATGTCGACGAAGTGAACACGCTATCGTGTCTCAGAAATGTATACAGATCCCAAGGACTTCATTATCCATCCGGCGCAGAGCAGACCTGGAAGCCTTCCTCGTCTGAGTTCAATGCTCGGCTGGTATAGGCAAAATCGTTGCAGCATTTGTTCTGTGTGCGTGGGGCCAAGGGAGGAAGCCTATTCCGAGAATCGTTACTTTCCACATTGGTGCCGACGTTCACAAGCTATATATGCGGTTTGATCTGGAGGATATGTGAGAATGTTCTCGGCTTCCTTTGCTGGCGTTATGATTGGATCGTTTCGAAGTGGTATAATGTGCGGAGATATATCGGTTGATCGTAATGGAGCTGGCATTGCAAATAGAACTAAACAATAGTATGAAAAGACATGGAGACCGTAATCTCAAAGGCCCGAAATGGCCATGTTCCCAGCACATACAACGGAAATTTCAATATGATACCCATCGCTGCAATTGTGCAATTGTTCTGTAACAATCCATCCAAAGGATATATCCCAATCCGTATCTCATTAAGGCATATGATCTTCATTCAATCATAAGAAGCACGCGCGCGTAAAAGAAAAAGAAAAGCCAATATAAACAAAATCAAACGACATAAGGCGCCGGTCTGCGACTGGAGCTGCGATGACGCGAGTGCGATCCAGAGCCATGACCACGGCGACTGGAATGGCTGCGTCTCCGAACAGTCGTCTCCTTGACAACAGTCGGCTTATGCGAGTGGTGCAAGAACAGCGCCAGCAGCGCAGTCCAGAAGAAGAATACCGTCTCCATGATACCGATTGCGAAGGAGGCTTTCAACATAGCGCAAGTCTTGTTGACGTCCAGCGAGAGCGGATTATCTGTGCGCTGGCCGTAGGACCCGAATGGACCCAGAGAGATCCAGACGGAGCCGCCATGCCAGCTGGCACAGTCTGCGTTGGCGATGAAGCGGAGCTGATAGACGGATCCGACGAAGGCGCCGAAGAAGAGCAGGTCCACGAATGCGACGAAGTTTGCGGATCGCTTTGTTGTTGAGAAGCGGATTAGCGTGTCGAGGGCCCAGAAAATGGCGACTACGCTGACGATGAAGAGGACCAGGATATATGATGGGGTCAGCTGGTTTACTTTCAGATAGCCGTTAACGAAGTAGGCCTAAGTTCGGAGATATCGTTAGCGGGAGACTCGGAGGGGTATTGCTGATCAGACTGGTTCACGGTTGACATACCAGCATGCCAATGATTGGGATCAGGAAGACGATCTCAACCAGGCGGTTGAATATGAAGAACACGCTGCCAATCATGTCGGCGGTGTAAAGAGATTGGGTTTCAGATCTCTGGAATGTGCAACTGTCTCGAGATGTTTGGTATGTCCAGATGTCCGAGGTACAGTAACAAGATGGGGCTACACGAGCTCGCAAACAAAGCACAGGCAGTTGCGATTACAGTGCAGTATGCACGATGTAGAAGATGCAGAGAGATACAGAAGAGAAAGTAAAAAAGAAGGAAAATAGACACAAATATGAGGGGGAAATTAGAAAAATAAAATAAAATTCAGCGTCATCTTGGGCTGAGGAGGCTGGGCGACTCACAATGTACGATGTCGGTGGCTGGGGTAACCCGAGTCCCTCAATGTGAGTCGCGACGCTTTTTATATATTGATTAGTCTGGGCACTTGCATTAGTAGTCCCTTTTTAATCAATGTCTTGCATTTGATTACTCCGTGTCTTTCAGACTGATAGGTTAGGGCATGAGAATATAGATGATCGTTGTCAAGCCAACCACATTTAAGTGGATACTTACGCAGGTGTACTTGGACTCGACTTCATTGCACTTGGAAATTGTACAGATCACGACAGAGTATGTTTAACGAGAGATAGGCTTGTTAAACTTATGCTTGTTGAATGGCAACAAATGCAGATTCTGTTGTTTTCGACGCCAATATGCTCATAATCATACTAGTACAGAGTTGGATCACCAGCCACCGCAATAATCCATGGCTTACAATCGCAAGGAGTTAAGTCTGGGCAATTACCGCTCTGAACTAGACTTCAAATCATCAATAACCCCATAATTCATGTTTACATGGGCCGACCGGGCATGCCCGTCAACGGACGTCCCTGGCCCGCCATTCCATCAGGGACATGGATGCCCGCATCAGCTGTCAGCGGCTGTGTCTGGGACACATACGCATTACTGGGGTCATATTGAGGCACGTGGTGACCGGCACCGGGATTCTGCCCCATAGTATTACCATGTCGCATCTCGTACCCGTTGGTAACGTCGTCCTCGCTCGACGACCAAGCACCGCCATCGTCGTCATGGTCATGTGGGCGGCGATTGTAGACATTCGATACGTATGGGTTGGACTCATCAAGATAGGTAGATGCGTCGGGTCTGGTATGTTCCGAGCTGGGGATATCCGGCGGGTTCATGCGCTCTTCTTCGGGGTTGCGGAGAGCAACCATGCTCTCGCCTCTGGGGCCCTTAACTCGGACACTATCAGGTCCCGCAGGCTCGGTCCCCCAGGTCCGGATTGGGTAGGCCCGACCCTTGCGCCAAGGTTCGCTAAGCGGTGGGAAATACTGGCGATATGCGACAAAGCCGCAGGCGATCCCAAGCATCGATCCCGTAATGACGTCGAAAGGGTGGTGGCGCGCATCCATGATACGCGAGACAGCGACAAGGGTTGCTGCTAGTAGGGGAGTCATGACGAGAAGGGCTTTCCAGGCCTCACCGCGATTGTCCATGACGTGCAACTTCCCGCCTAACCAGAGCGATATGTAAACGAGACCGGCGAAGGAAGCTATTGATTGAACGGTGTTAGTAAAAGGAAAGACCGGGCAACTCGCAAAAGGGGATACACACAGCTACTGTGGCCTAGATGAATCAAGGTTAGCATTTGCGACTCTGAAAAGCAGTATCGGGTCATATTGCATACCGGACGGCCACGACCGAAACCCATCTGTCAACAAGTGGGGATCCCCGGTACAAATTGACGAGTTCGACAATCCCGGGAAAAGGTCTTTGCTACCAGCACGTGGTTGACAACGATCAATAAGATCGGGTCTAGGCTTGCCGCATGCATTCTTCAGCGCCTGGGTAATGACGAAAGCGAGACCCTGAGCCAGCAAAAGACCCAAAACACCACAATTGAGCTCCCAAAGTCTGTCCTTCCAGCGATGCGGACCTCTCAGCTTCCGCTTCCCAGACGCGTCCTGTGGCTTATTGTGCGAAAACAGGCCATCGATGAACAAGGTGTAGACGATAATGAGGACCAGTGGGAAGCCGCAGGATATGCATATGGCATACGCCATGGGGATGCGTTCATGTACGGCGTAAGGATACTGGATGGAGATGTTGTTGAGGGAGAAGTGTTGGTGGTAAGGCTCGATCGTGTTGAGAATGGCGAAGCCGGCAACGCATGCACTGTTTTCGTTAGTACAGAGTAAAGAGAAAGGTTGACTGGGCCATACATAATGATCACATAGTCAAAGATGTAGCTGAGGAATCGTTAGTTTAGGGATTTGCGGGGGTACCTGGGGAAAGTCGACACACGAGATCACAACACGCGGTCGGAGTCGCCGCTTCGAGAAGGGGAGTTTTGCGGGAATTTCCATTGTTGACTCTAGAACTTCCCCAAAGAAAATCGAGAGGGAAGATCAGAAGATTAAAATATCAGAAGGGAGAATAAACATCTCTGCCTAATTAATGGGCATTGCTTGGCATCGGCATGAATAGCATCTGGGCACTTGGCGGTCTTCCCCTTCTTCTTCTGTTCTGAGGTATATGATTGGTCTCAAAGTGGCTTCGTTGGGACCTCCAAGGTTATGGATATTTTGATATCCTGGATGTAATAGTAGCTAGTACTAGTTAACTAGTTCAACCCTATACCATTATGGATCTAGTACTATATTTCATTGTTCGCAGTCAAAAGATCTTTAATAGAACAAATCTGCATCCCAGTTCGATATGGGGTAGTGGTTAACCTAACGGATTTTCACTCCGTGGCCCCGGGTTCGATTCCCGGTATCGAAGTTCTTCTTTTTTTCTTTCTATTTTCTCTACAAATTCTTAGGTTCTGTCTAGCAAGAAAATTTGAACTGAACGAGTGAATTCAATGTACTAATAGCTGAAGGACTGTCGACGCTATGTGCATGCGTCTCGATTACAAACAACCACCAGATATGGCTATGTTTTCCGATCCACCAAATAGACAGTCAACTTTTTGAGATGGACACCGGACCAAGGAAATTAAACAGAAAATGAAAAGAAAATGTCAAGAAAATACATATCGACGCCAAGGAAACGTCAATGGGAGTTTACAAGGCATAGAAAATGGCCCTAGAAATCACATGTCCATAGTCGCAAACTGTCAAGTTACACAGAGGTCCCTCATTTAGCAAGTGGTGATGAATAGACCGAGACTGAAAGTGCTGTTAGCTGATATAAAAGCAAAAGGGAAAGTGACAGAAAACTTACGGAGAGGGGTTCCAGTCCTCGAAGAAGTTGAAGTCAGTGCTGCCAGCGTTCTTCATCTGATAGGTGACAGCCTGGCCAGCCGGGCAAGAGAAGGTAGAGATAACGTATGAGTTACCGGGGGAGGCAGTGATGGTGCCGAGGCCCTGGGACACCGAGGGCACGTTGCTGAAGGATGTTGAGGAATCGGCAGTAGAAGAGAGCTTAGCGAAGTCAATCTTTCCATCGCCGCTGAAGGTGTAAGACGAGGTCTCGAGATCCTCAAGCCTGGGGAAGAGGAACACGAGGCTGCATGTCTTGCCAGCGTCGGAGTTCGGGATGTCGAAGTTGAACACGGTCGAGATGGTCGAGGTCACGGTACCATTAAGCCCAGTTCCGGCAGACGTGTCTGGCGATGACGAGTCGACGCGGACAATAAGGTGGGGGATCTCGTAGTTACCCGTGAGGGTAGTAGGACAAGCCCCGCCAGAGGTGCCAGTGGCTGTGGCGGGAGAGGTAGGGCTAACGGGAACAGATGTGTTGCCGAAGCCGCCGGTGGGATGAGGGCGAACACCTGTTGGGCTGCCAGTGGGGGTAGGTACGGTGGCAGAGCCACCACCGCCGGTGAGAGGAGGCACACTAACTGACACGCCAGGCTGCGTACCGCCGCCGCCTGGGGGAGGAACACTAGCAGAGGCACCAGGCTGTGTACCGCCGCCGCCGCCGCCGCCGCCGGGAGCAGGTTCTGTAACAGAGGGCGGAACACCAGCGCCGCCGGATGGAGCAGGCATGCTAGGAGATGGCTGCGGCCCACCATCACCACCACCACCACCACCACCACCAGGGGCGGTGGGCTGAGGGCCAGGAACCGACGCTTGACCGCCACCGGGAGCACCAGGAGCACCAGAGGTAGGGGCAGGTGCAATCAGTAACAGTGATAGTGGTCGTGGCAGTTTGAGGGCTGGGGCCGGGACCCGGAGCAGGGCCAGGACCAGGACCAGGACCAGGCGCGGGACCAGGACCAGGCGCGGGACCAGGACCAGGCGCGGGGCCAGGACCAGGCGCAGGACCAGGCGCAGGACCAGGAGCGGGGCCAGGAGCGGGACCAGGAGCGGGACCAGGAGCGGGACCAGGAGCGGGACCAGGAGCGGGACCAGGACCGGGAGCAGGGCCAGGGCCAGGGCCACCTGTGCCCGAGCAGGCGTCGGCCGACATCAACACGTTCACGCAGCCAGTGACATCCATCTTGTTAGGGCTAGTGTAGATATTCATACCACCGTTCTGGCCCGTGGCACATGCAACGAAGTCGGGGCTGTTGTTGTACTCGAGTCTACCCTCGGAGTTGATAGAGAAACCAGGAGCAGGAGCCACACCCTCGTCACACTGGAGTTGAGTGGTGGGAGCTGTCGTACAGTCAGATATACATCCTTTGATAGTTGATATACAAGGGATTGATCAATTCACTCACGGGTGAGGATGCACCCACGGCCATTGGAGTCAGTGATGGCGCCGTTGTCGTCGATGCAGTACTGTGCGGGTTGCAGACTATCATCGCCAATGCGGTTCTGACCATCACCCAACTGGCCAAGTGTACCGGAGGCACCGCCAGAAGAGCTGAGAGAGAAACAGCAGGTATCCCTGCGGCCAACGAGGGCGTTAGAGCCCGCAGCGAAGGCAGCGAGGGCAATGAAGTTCTTCATGATTGCTGTTCAGCAAACCTGAATAGGCTGATCAGCTAGCGAATGAACGCAGCGCTCCTTCTTTTAAGAAGCTCGTGAACAATTGATTGATTTGACAATATCCACCGTTAAAGGTATGGTGGAAGATGTGGCTTTAGTTGAGGGAGCAAGGATTTGGGAGAGTGTGCATCTTTATAAGAAGCGGTGGGTTAGTGCTCCAAACGAATCATCGAAAGATGTAACATCAGGGCACACATGACCGGCAAAAGCCCCCCGAGATGAAAGCATGAAGAAACAATACAAACTATATGCTGTCAGCCATTCATGCCGTTGACCGTGGGGAAGAACTCCGATGGACCAATACCCTGGTCTCGGAGAGTAGACAATGGTAGGTCCGAACCAGCCGGAGCGAGATGCGTAGCAACATGCACAACGTCATGTTGAACAGAGGTCCAATTCATTGAGATGTGGAGTAATATGGAGTATGAGAGTATGCTTGTTTCTCCACTTAGAAGCAGGATCTGAAGACATGGACAATGGTCACTCGCTGAGCACAAGAGGGATGTGGATGTGGACGTACTGTCTGCGGTCCAGACAGACCGGTTGAAAGTGGCAACATGCATTTTCCCATTGATCATTGCCTATCTAAGTCCACCGAGAGGCTCAAATCATCTAATCAAGTCTCATTGTTGTTACCATGTAGTCGGGAGAATATGGGTCAGCCTTGGAACATACGGCATAAACTAATACTCCAGTTTTTTGATCCAGCCCCTAGTACATACTGTACATACAAATAGTCAATTGTGCGATCCTGGAACATTATATGCTCATGTGATATAGCTACGAACCTCGAACTGCAACTGTCATATGGAATGTATTGGAAATATAATAAACAAAAGAATAAATAGAAATTATTTGATAGGGCTAGACATCATGATCATTGGCGACAGCAACATCTCTAATTAGAGTCTTTTTTATGCTGTACACGTAACATGCATTAATACAACCTTGGAATATATCCTTTATGGTGGTCATATAGCTCAAAACTGTGATACATATAAAGGATAGTTACTATGTTGTACACTGTGGACCGTGTAACGGATACGGGTAGAGACACAGCATAAAGCAACACTCTCATAAGTATGATGAAAGACGATAATTGAAAATAAGATACAAATAGATTGGATCGGATTATCCATGGATGTCATCATTGAACAATATGGAAGTGGACCCGGGGCCCGGCCAACAACAGCGTCCGACTATTTTTATATCGCTCAACCATGGCACATTTATATAAAAGTCTCTCTTGGAATTATTATCCACGTCATGTTGTTTGCACTCTTTGCACTATTATACGTGGGCTTACTATGTATATCACAGTCGGCAACGCGTGTTTATATTGGGGCATTTGATCTATATTAATCGCAACAATAAGGCCCAATTGTAGATTCTAGAGATCCCCGCCAATCTTTTTATGTGTTTACCCGTGGATGTTGTATAACATATGTTGTACAATATAGTATAGATTGATGATATGTTACGGTAAAACATCCCTGGAGCTGACACAAGAGGCAATGTCCCTTTACGGTGGCAAAGTAAGGATATGCTAGGAACCAGGCAACATTATCCCTCATACAACCCGATCGACCAATCTCAAAGCTGCATCCTTGCTAATAACATCAGTCGCTCTGGTTTAATAGTATGACATGGATTTTGATACGCCGATCAAATTTAACCGTCGATCTCAATGTGGGCGTGACTGGATAGCTGAGTGGGCACTAGTACAAATGACGAAAGCCCTTTACATAAAATCAATTGACATATCATGCGTCATAATGTCGCGGATTTCAAGTCCCAGTCAAACTATGCCGAGCTGGGTTATCTAGTTAATACTAATACTACATAGACAGAAATCCAGTGTCCGACTCAGCAAAGAAGCTATTCCAGTCTACTGTTCCTGAGTCCACATTGTCATCGAATACCTGCCAGAGGTCATCCAGAGTAGGCAACGTGGGGTCCATTAGGAAGTCATCGACATTCCTGCCCGTCGGATATACCGTGCTTGTAAGCGCCGGAGAGCCACAGGCGAGTCCCGGCGTAGCCTCACGGTCTTGGGCGATAGACTGCGTTGTTGTACTTTCTTCGACAGCCGAACCTGAAGCACTGTGTCGCCGAAGAGCCGTCTTGAAGGTTTCAAGCAGCCTTCCTGCTAGAGGGGAGTCCTTTTTAGCCTTTTCTAGGATTGAAAATGCTTCCAGAATTTCCGTTAGGTCCTTTTCCTGCGGATGACCACTCCCACAAAAGTCTATGAGAAGCACCATGATCGCCACACAGACGCAATGTAGCAAGCCTGAAAGCCTTAGCCGCGCGGCCACAAAGGGGATCATCTCTAGCGAGAGTTGGCGTTCGGCTCGGATCACCATTCGAGCCGCTTCCAGACATGCTTTCCGTGAGTAATCATACGCGGGATCCTTAGACGCTCGCGACAGATAAGGCAAGTGAAGCCTGCACCTTTGGGCATGAAGCAGAAAATTGATGATATATCGTTGAATGATTATTCCGGTAGATTTCCGAGGATCGGTCTTGGGTAGCTCGTCCGATCTGTAGGCCAAGGAAAAAAACGGAGGTAGACTCTCAGCGAATTCACAAATCTTGCCGTCAATCTGTTTAGTGTGCTCGTAGTCCGGGCTTCCTGGATCGGACATTCCAAACGGAGCGCAATCTGTGATTTCGCGGCAAAACTCGCCCAATCGAATCCGCTGGAGACAGTACGACATCGACGTAGGGTGGGTGAGTGGCTTTCCAACTCCAACCATTCCGTCTACGATGTCTTCATCATTCGCATTGCAAGGTTTGTTTGTCATCATGTGGCGTGGATCGATCGAATATGTGCCCTTCTGTGGACCAGATATTTGCGACATCTGCCTGTTATTGAATGAACCCACATTCTTGAAAGAAAGATAAGGGGATGATGAAATTTACCAGTCACTTGCCACGAGATACCACCATACTCTTCTGCCTATCTCTGCTTCTGCAGAGGACGGCGAAGGCACATCTAGGTTGGAATTGTATGGATGGTCAATCCGATGCAAGGATAGTCCTCTCCCAAATGAGATGGCAATGGAAAGAATATGCCGGACTTGAGATGTAAATCCCACTATACTGGTAGCCACAAATGTTATAATGACCATTGCTTGAATATCCTGTATTGACTCCAAGTGTTTGTAACGCGAGTAATCAATCACCTCCAGCGTAAGTCTCATCCAGTGTGTAGACTGCACAACTGCTTCGTCAGGAGTCGAAAAGATGGGGTTGCACATGTCGTTCTCAGTCCAGAAGGACGTGGTACTGGCGAGAATGCTCAGCAGCAACGAAACGTACCCAATTTTGACCGGCTTGTTTTCTCTCAGGTCACGATAGAGTTCATCTACCATGGTACGTAGAGAAGGGGCGATAACCACGTGATGGAGGAAGGTGATTTCTGTGATGTACTTCTCCACTATTATTTTTGCTTCCTCGCGGAGTGGCAGCCAGATACATCTTTTCGTGGGCTGGGCTTGATGTGCCATTGATTCAGACCCCACTGCGTTACGAATGGGACAAGTCCTGATTTCAATTTCAGACTTGAAAAGATTACCCTGGACATTTTTGTCAGCGGTCGATTTCCCATTGATTTGATTCAATAATCAAGGTAGGCCTACCGATGAGCCTGACGATGTGATCTCGCCTTCTAGCCAAGTCACGGCCGCTGCAGATGGCTGTCCTTCGTCTAGCATGTATGGTTGATTTGGCTTTGGAACTGGAGGAGAAGGGAGTGACGAAGCCTGGGTAGTAGCTTGTCCCAAGGGACTAGACGCCTGTCCATTGGTGGTCACGATCTCTTCCAGCCTCCGCAAGCGGGCCAGTATATCTGTGCGGTCATTGCTAGACAATTCCTCAGTCTGATACTGAGGACTGGCAGGCAATGCTGTATCAGGATAGAGTTGACAAGTCTTGCCCCGACTAGTGCAGTTGGTGCAAGGGAATATCCGGCTACACTTCAGCTTCCTCGATCGACAGAAGTGGCAAGATACAGGCCGCGAGCGTGAAGATCTGACACGCTCTTTCTCGACTCGATGCATTTCTACCCCTGGTTATTATTTCAGGCAGTGTTTGTTTGAAGTTGGGGTGAATTGGGGGCGAGATGTGCTGAGAAATCGACCAATCAAAGGCCGGCGAATCCGCGGAAGTTCCGCGGCCTCCGTGGATTCCTACTGTAGGAACTATATGAGAGACACGAAGGTATATAAGAGCCTCTTTTCACTAGGAAATCCATAATCACATATCACCTTGGCTAATTTCTTCTACTCTTTGATCCAAGAAATTTCTCATCTCATTTGTCTCAATATGGACGCCATCATTGCTCAGATCCAAGCGCTCGCGCAAGACACCGATGAAGCTGGTCGGTTGAACATCATTCAGTCTCTCCAAAGAGCGAAGATCGATATTCAATCTCCATTAGATACCTTCATGGAGCTTGCAGTACCGGTTGGTGATCACATACTACAACCCCGGGTTAACTAAATTGCTAACGGCTGTAGGGGCTAACGAGTGCGATGCTCCGAATTAGTGCAGATTTGGGACTCTTTCGCTCTCTCGCGGAAAGTGATGTGTCCTTGACTGTCGCGAAAATTGCGGAGCTGACCAGAGCGTCTCCTCCATTTCTAGGTAATGACATCTGAGACGGCCGTGTCTACTTCGAATCCTAATACAATTTCTGTCCAGAGAGAATTCTTCGTTACCTAGCAGCAACCCACATGATCAAAGAGACCGGAATCAATGAGTACATGGCGAACAGAATAACTCATGCTTTGGCGGACCCTAAGGGTGAGGCCATGATATACCATGGGTAATTTCCTCCAATGACTTAACCACCTGAAAAACACCCCTGCTTACCTAGCATCCTTGACACAACCTTAGATTTGACATGATTGGACCTGTCATGCAAGCAATGCCTGCCTTCTTCGCTGAAAACAACTATCAAGATGTCACCGTCAATACCAACACTCCATTCCAGAAAGCCCACGACACCAATCTCACCTCATTCGACTGGCTTGTCCAGCAGCCAAAGCACTTCGACAACCTGCAAAAGGTCATGACCGCGCTTCAAGGATCAGAATGGACGAGGGATTTACTCTTTTTAACGATGAAGCCCATAAGGTTCCATCCAAGGGTCCATCCACCATACAGGCTTCAGAGAAACCCTTCTTCGTCGACGTCGGCGGCGGCCATGGCCACCAATGCATCGAGCTAGGAAAGAAGTACCCAAATCTTCTAGACCACCTTGTCCTCCAGGACCTGCCAGAGGCAGTGAAAAACCTCGCTCCCATCGACGGAGTGAAGGCTGAAGCCTATGACTTTTTCCAACCGCAGCCTATCATTGGTCTGTCTCCATGTATTCATTCGATACGAGACCCTACCGAAAACTGACCTTTCTTTAACCTAGGCGCCAAGTTCTACTATCTTCGCAGAATCATGCACGATTGGCCCGACGACAAAGCCGCAACGATCCTCCGCAATATTTCGTGCGGCTATGGGCCCCGACTCGCGGGTCTTGATCGATGATGCCGTGTTGCCGGATACTGGCGCTAACTGGAAATCGGCCATGGCCGACCTTGCCATGATGACCTTTGCTGGTAAGGAGCGGACTAAGTATCAGTGGGAGTCACTTGCAGAAAGTGCGGGCTTGCGTGTGGAACAGATTCATACTTATGTTGCTTCAACTTATACAGCTATTCTCGTTTTTGTTGCGCAGTGAACTAAATATGGCTGTCAGCGGTATCTTGGACTTTTCTAGCAAATGATGCTGTTACTCTCTCCTCTTCATGTGTATTCTACTATTACTCTGTATACAATTTTGCATTCTCTGTGCACGTCTAGAAACTGGCAAGTATAAGTCAGATGCATTGTTGATCTCCATTTCCCACATATATTGGATGCTGTAGATACATTGATAGCAAGGACGTGATATATCTTTATGGGCAATGTTCTTAGCGAGCCACCTAAACTCAAAACGCCTTGCTAGCCCAGTAAATGACATAAATGAAAAAAAGGCGCTGGGGAAAAAGGACGAAATCAAACGAGCGAAAGAGAGAGCTCAAATCGCCGAGAATAATGCTAATATAGGTCGTGAATCATGCGCGTGCTGAGCGATATATTATGAGTTTTTCCCGGTAGGGTTCACTCAATGGCTGGTTTCAGGGGTAGTGGGATCATGCAGTGTGGATGGTGGGCCACGGATAGTAGTCGCCGATCCTGCTGATACCATTCGGATTCCCGACGTCCCCTCTGTCGGCGTTGGAGGTTCATCATTGTTGATATTGATACTCTGGAATTGCGACTGGGTCGGCGTCACAGGAGACACAGTCATGGGACTGGGTAAATTGACGTGGATCGAAGGCAAGCGGTTGATAGGTGGGAGCTGCCGCGCTTGTTCACTCTGCTCCGTAACAGGACTTTGATATGCAGGGGCATCACCCCAGTCGAGGTGCTCGTAGTCGGGAGGTGGAGGAATGTTGAGCGTCCCCAGATCTCCATCATCGGTTTGTGATGTTGGACGGCTCGAGCCGTGTGTCGTAGTTGGAGCCAGGGTCAGTCGCTCAAGCTCAGTAGAGTGATGCGGTTCACTCATAATCGACGAAGCAATAGACTGGCCCCGAGAGTCGAGGCTGGATGGTTCAAAAGAAGGCGCGGCGGAGCTAACAGCGTCACTTTGCAACAGCGGTCGGCTATCCGAATCGTGGAAGTCGGAATTGTGCGAGTCGGCTCGAAGCCGTGATCCATCATGGCGAACACGTCCAAGTTCAGCATAGCTCACACTGGAGATGCGTCGGTCCCGCTCTCTTGACTGATGCTCTGCTAGCAGCGCGGATACGTCGGCTGCACTGTTGGTTCCTGCGCGGCGACGTTGTGTCCGAGCGCGAGTTTCGGCGTTTAGTTGCTCAACACGAGCGGAATCCCCACGCGCCCGTGCCTCTCGTCGCTCCCGACGGCGTGCCTCGCGATCGGCTAGTTCCTGACGGCGCTGCAGGCGGATCTGGTACATAGCGTCCATCTGTTCCTCACGACGAGATTCCTGTTCCTCCGCAGTCTCTGGGTATTCCACGACCATGTCCATCCCAGCGCGTTCACCTTCTCGGGCGATGACTTGTTCGGTCGGCTTTGGGCTTTGGGAATAAGGGGGTAGTGTCATGATCGAACGTATCGAGGTATCGCGGCGGACGCCATCAGTGGATTGCATTTCTGGTGCTGTGCCAGCTCCGCGATAAGACGTATCTTGGCCAGTTTGATTCGGGACCTGGCCATATGAGGCACTGCCTGGACTCCATTCTTTCCATTTTCGCTTGAGGTATTTGCCCGGAAGGTATTTCGGTTCGTAGTTACGTTGCCGTAAATAGCGGAACAGGAAGAAGGTGCCTACACAGAGTGCGATTGCAAATATGATGCTCACGGCACACTAAGAGGTCAGCATCATAGGGAGGTCGGAAGGATCGGATATGTCATACGATAATAAATATGTTGTTCTTATTCGTTTGGGCATTTTGACGTTTTTGTGGAATGTACATTCTGTTGGACAGGCAACTCGGCCTAGAGATCCTTAATGGAAGGCATGGAAGAAAATCCCCGGATTTCAAAGGAGTCGAGGAATGAGAGATAGAAAAAGGACCAAGCGCGTCAGCCTTGAGAAGCCCAGGCAACCCGGATGTGGCTATTATTATACGCCAAGCAAATGAAGCGCTGTGGAGATTCAATTGGCTTCTCCTTCAATCAAATTTGTCTTTTTTTAATTGACTGGAATTGTCGATCTTTCTTTGTCTGTAATTGTCTTTCACTTCTGTATTTTGTTCTTTTTAAAGCGTTTCCATCATTTTGCTGTCCGGGATATGGTCGTTTCACCTCTAGGACTCCAGGGGCTGGTCCCTTAATCATCTTGATCATATCAAATCTCAAATCTCAAATTTATTTATTGATCGATTCCATTATTGACTTTCGATCGTGGGAGATGAACTGCACGAGACCCTTCGCAGCAAGGGAACACCTTATACAAAAATAGATACGCCCTTACGTTCGGGACCAACCGGTATGACATCGTGCTGAGACAATCGTCAAATCGTCGAATTCCCGTTAGGGCTTATTAGGGCTGGTGATCGCGTCGCAGTGGAAAAACAACCTCGCTAACCTCGGTCCAAATCATGAGATGTGAAGTTGGCGAATTTTGTGAAATATTGCTCCCTTTCGGCTCTCCTTGCTCTCGTAGTTATCTCTGAAACACCCCCTTCGTTGCAGGTTGGCCTAGCTTAGCGGCGATCGCACTTCCCCAGTCAATCTGTCTCCACTAGTTTGTTTCGGTAGTTCTCCGTCAATTTCCCTTCATCTGTCGATCTGTGAATTGGCCATACAACATAGCGACTTCATTTCACGAGGTCTCAAGGCAAAGGCACCTTCCAGTATCCCATGAAAATCGCCGTAATTCCAAATTGCTCTCGTCACAGATCATGCTATTTCGGGAATACTGATACGGACGACAGCCGATGCCCTCTTCGGTGTGTACTATCTCGCAGCTCGGCTTTGTACCGTAGCGGCCAATGTCCGTGATGATCCCCACACAAAGTAGTTATGAGAGCCGTGTCCGCGAATTTTTATGGTGCTCTGATCATGTCCTCAATTCTGTTTGTGTCCATTAGTCCATGACGTGGTGGTCAAAGTATGGGATCAGCATAGAATATTAATAGAACGACATTGCCAGGAACATTGCAATGCCTCAATCCACAGGGCTTGTCGACACTTAATGGTCGATCATCATGTTTCCCTCAATATCTCTGGATGGGTGTAGTCGATGCTTGCAGTAAATAGTGAGGCGCAGTAAATGGAAGATAGGCAGCTACGTAGATATGTAGGGACATGAGAATCTTGGCAAATCCTTGCCCAAAAGCTCAAATCTTTCCCCAGCCCCATGTCTCCACACTCTTCATGTCATTGTGTAATGGCAGTTGTCCTATAGTATATCCCTAGACAATGGAAGAGTCGTCTTGTTCTCAACCTATCATAATTTGGTTTAACCCACCTCGTTGAGATAAGACCAAGCCTATGGTTAACCAAGGTTATATGGGCATACTCTGTCTCCTAAGCATGGCTGAGCCTTCGCTAGATAAATTGAAGATCATGCGGGCTGAGAAAGTCCCTGCCCATCAGGTCCAAAGTAGGTTCTATTTTCCCCCAATGTCCCTTGCCCAAAAAATTTGACTTCGTGGTTGCTGAATGGCAACGCCCCAATGTTGATGCTGACGATCCTTCGTCAACTATACTCCAAGTTATGACTACAAGGAACAAGGCAAGCTCCATGTGCTACAGCCTTGTATCATATACTCATGTAGTACCAGCAGAGTAGATCACCATGTCCACTGTGGGCCCCGCTAGACACAACAATGTGTTAAGTTCTCATTACTATTGGTGATGATATATCAATATGGCGGTCTGACTGACAGCTAGAGTTTCCAGAAAACTATCATATCGGTGCAATTACGATCACATTGAAATGTGATTATAATCCCTGACTTGGCCCTCGACCATTGTCGTACAGACACCGACCTTGATAGACCGCCACTTATAATCTTGGCAAGGGTTTTAGGTACCACTCTACGGAGTAGTTGAATGGAAATCCACGCTGGTGCTTAAATCTCGCCCATTCATAAATCTCAAGGTTGAAAATAGACACATCGCCTTACTAAGGAATCTGCCGCGCCTTGTCCGGCCAATTTAACGTTCATCGGATGGTTTTTTTTCGAGGCGTGAAGGCGTCAGATAAAATACGTGGTGGACATTTTCTCCCATTTGCTGCTTTTGGATATTGCTAGACAAAGGCATGTGAGTGAATCTGGAAATGGGTCTAATATATCGGCTGTTGTTATCGTCTGGATAGACACAACATTTTAGAATTGACGCTAGGAAAGGTGAGATCAAATACTTTACATGGACCTACTGCGTATACGCAGTTGCTGCATTATCTTAAAAGTATACAGTCTACAGGACACGGAAGATATAGCTAGGTATCTTTTAGACTTAAAATGAACATCCCGGCTTCATACGAACAAGATGATAATGTTTTCAGCCGTTCCTCCATATCTTGATAAAACTTCACAAAAGTAATCAGAGAACCGGACATTTGACAAAGCCAAGAGAGGATAGAGGGGATATCCATGGAGCTACCAATGTAGCATCTGATCATCTTACATTGCTTCAGTGTTCTATCGCCGCGTGATAATATTCCGTTCCTCTGGCGGCGGACCCTTTTTTTAAAGAATAAACCAATGAAAGCCACCAAAATAAAGTATTTCGTACAATATGTAAATTTCTCGACGTGGGAGCGTGGTGCCTTGCGAGGTTCTTCAGCCTCAAGACTCAGGTGCTGGAAAAACCACATTTAACGTCGTCGTATGATCCAAGAAAAGCAAGTCAACACCAGCATGATTTTTACAGGAGGAAAAACTTAGGGATCGTCTCGTGGCTGTATAGGAATATGAAATGGTTGTATTGGCCAAGAAACTAAGGCCTGGATGTGATACTGACCCAATGGCCAACCTCGGAATCCTCGTCCTCCTTGGCAGAATGTGAGCTATTGGGAATTATCGCAAGTCGCTCGCCTCGAAGGTCAAGTATTTGGCCTTTGGATTCCCAATAAGTTTTCACATGTCTAGTTCGAAGTTGTTCCCCGCATAAAGCCAAGATGAAATAGGTGGGAGTTGGATCACCTGGAAACTCGGCATGATCGCGCCGTCCCGCGGGGGCTTAGATCGACATCGGTATATACTGTTGTTGATATCGGCGCGCAGCCTGTTGCGAACTATGATCGACATGTCCGCCTAAATCAGGTAGCCGCTCCAATGGGGTCGCAGCCATCATCTCCGAGAAAGTTGAGGTCATCGCCACGTTGAATCACAGGGTCTTGTCACCATGCCCTACCTGAGGCCACGAGTTTCGCGCAAACTCAACAAAGGATGTTGAGCGATAGTATATATAATGGTCCCTATTGCGAACTAAAATGTCGGTAACAGCTTCAAACCCCTTGGCAGCCTTGTGGATCTTGATACGGCTTTCTTATTGGGCTTCTGCGCCAATCATTTCATGAGCTCAGTCCACCTGAATTCTTGTTCAAACCCCTCAAGGCACTGATATCGCGCAAAAATGGCAACGTTGAACTTTGAGTTGAAAAACAATACCGGTTCTAACACAGTCTACGCCTACATCACAGGCCAAGCGCTTGATAATAACAATGCGCTTTTCCTCCTGCGATCCGATGGCAAGACACCCTACTACCCAACCTCACCACCGGCCACTGGGACCGATCTGAGTGAGGATTGTGCGATTCCCTTGGGTGCACCTGGCAATACCACCACCATCACTATTCCCCACCTCGCAGGTGCGCGACTGTGGTTCGTCCAAGACAACAAATTGACATTCTATCTGAATCCCGGCCCTGCCCTTGTCGAGCCTTCGGTATCGAACCCGGCAGACCCTAACTACAATCTGAGATGGGCCTTTTGCGAATTCACCTGGAATGACTTCCAGCTTTATGCGAATCTCAGCTACGTCGACTTCGTGTCGATGCCCATCGCCATGACCCTAACCAACGGAGCTGGTGCAACCCAGACCGTCAAGGGTCTGCCACCCAATGGTCTCGATCTAGTCTGCGATGCTCTCAAAGAGCAGAATAGCAAGGATAATGCCGGCTGGGACCAGCTTGTAATCCAGAAAGACGGGGTCAACTTGCGCGCCGTTTCTCCAAACACGGGAAGAACCCTGAATAATTCTTTGTTCAACGATTACTACAAGAGCTACGTGGATGAAGTCTGGACTCACTACAGCTCCAACAATGTTTTGACGGTCAACACTCAGGCTGACGCCGGTGATGTTACCGCCAAAGTTGCCTCCGATGTCTTGTCCTTCTCGGTTCCAGATGTTTCATACGTCAAGCCGTCCACTGGAGATATCTTCAGCAACAGTACCGGTTCCTTTGCCGTTTCTGGGAATGGCACTAAAGACGCTATTACAGCTCGTCTCGCGGCTGCCTTCAATCGCTCAACGCTTTTGATAAATGGCAACCAGCCGAACGGGGAGACAGTTTCCAATTACTACAAGAACCCTGTGACAAACCACTACTCGCGCATCTGTCATTCCGTGAACATTGATACCCGAGGCTATGCATTCCCCTATGATGATGTTGCGCCTAACGATGGTCCCGATCAATCTGGGAGTGTTTTCGATGGCAACCCAAAGCTCTTGACGGTCACTATTGGCGGCGGTCCGAGTAACTCTGTCAAGAAGTCTGCGGTTGAGGGTAGTGCTATGCCAGTACAGCAACCATCGGAGAATGGGCAAAGCCAGGAGAACGGACGGAAGCCGAGCCGCTTCCATGAGCTGAGGAGCTTTATGGATAAGCTGACGCACAGGAAGAGCAGCACTTGAGCACATAGGTTTGTCCCAGTGTTATTCGGTCATGTTGTCGTATATTGTAAATGCTACTGTATATACACCGTTTTCGGTCTTCACTCTCTTTTGAATTTGCTGGAAATAGGTCAATATGATTCTGTCCTTTACCCCCCTCCCTTGCAACAAAATAAGAGAGTAAGGTATCTGCAAATTGGATGATGACCTGCATCATTATGAAGACCCAGTCCCCCCTCCTGATTCCCCAGCATGCTTCTTAATGTAAGCTACCACCTGATCCGGCATAGCCAACCAGGGCGTGTGTCCTGTTTTAATCGTCTCAGTTTCAATCTGCGCCCCCTTCCGGCGTGCCCGCTCCACCAACACCTGCTGCACCGGCACCGGAGTCGCGCGATCCTCCTCAGTCAAAAGGTACGCAGAAGGAATGTTCATGTACGCCGCACCGGTAGCAGGGGCATTCTGAGTCGCCCAAGAATGTGGCTTGAGAAGCTTAACCCACTCCGCACCATCGACAACATCATGGAAAAACAGCACGAGCGCATCGCTGGCCGTCACAGTTCCTTTCTCTTCCTAGAACAAACGTCAGTGGTCACATAGGCATTTTGCGAGTTGCGAATAAAAATCCGCGGACAACTTACATCGCGCACATACCATGGCGGGGGCATCCCACCAAACGCGCCGATCAAACCCTCGCCAATGCTAGGTAGAAAAGCGGCGATGAAGATGAGTTTCATGACACCGCCCTTTTGGTTGGCTGCTTCGCGCTCTGACTTGCTCAGTCCATCTAACGCGCTGCTCACTGGTAGCCCGGCCCAGCTGTGCGCGATGATGACGATGTCATGGCCGGCATCTGCCTCCTGTTGAGTGATGGATCTCACGGCATCGATGTCTGGTTGAAGGTCGACGACTGAGCTGGCTTGCTGGATGGAGGGAAATGCGACACTGTGGCAGGTATAGTCGGTGAGTTGCTTGATGATTGGGTCGAAGATGGTGGGCGGGTACCACGCGCCCGCAGCGAAAATCAGAGTTGGCTTTGACATTGTCGCCCCGGTTGATGTGAAGATTATGTGAATTGGATATGGGCGCTTGCTCTGTACAATACAAGTTTGTAAGGCTGAGAGGTTGCAGGGGTTATGAAGCTGGCCATGCGGGACTTCGCTTTAGTCGATTTATTGTTACCGCTTTTTCTATCTCTGAAATAATCATATTTATCCACATCAGTGTTCTCCTTTACACTCTATACATCTGTGCCTATAGTAGTGACATCCTTACGTGGTGTCGCGGATTTGCTTAATCGATGGATACATGTATTGATGGGACTTGGTACGATGACGCAAATTGCAATGATACATTTGACTATTAAGTGTAGGAACCAGCGAAAATAAATCAAAAATGTACATTCCAGGACTAATGATCACAGGAACAACCACTTGAATAGTCTAACCACCGACTTCCTCAGGGTCACTGAGCAAGGCATTCAACTTGCCACCATTCATTTTCGCCAGAGCCTGATACGGCCCTTCCTCCACAACAGCTCCCTGGTCAAGAACAACGACATGATTCGCGATCTCGATCATTTCCTTCGCGTGCGTGATAATGATAACAGTAAGCCCCTGGCGCACGGCCACCAACTGCTGCACCGTCTGCCGTACGATCTCCGCACCCGCTGGATCCAAGCTGGAAGTGGCTTCATCCAGAATCAAGATCTGGGGCTGACGCAAAAGAGCCCGTGCAATGACCACGCGCTGTTTCTGACCACCGGAAAGGCCAACCCCGCCATCTCCGATCACAGTATTGTATCCTCGAGGCAGAGAGGAGATGAAATCATCAATCCCTGCTCCTTGAGCGGCAGTTCGGACACTATGAGATGAGGCGAGTGGTGAGTGCTGATCTAGCCCGTAACTGATATTTTCATGAATCGTGCCGGGGAAAATGGTTGGTTGTTGCGATACGATGGAGATCTGTGAGCGGAGACTAGGAACATGTAGCCGAAGGATGTCTGCGCCGCCGAGTGTTATTGTGGGTTGCCCAGTTTCGGAGGCCGGGGCTTCGTAGAGTGATAATAGAAGCGATGCGATTGTGGATTTCCCCGACCCGGATCGTCCTACGAGCGCCGTACAGGAGTTGCGTGGGATCGAAACCGAGACATTCTTCAACACCATCGTGTTTGGCCGAGAGGGATATCGGAAATTCACGTTAGTGAGTTTGATTGGGGTGAGCTTTGACACTGTCAAACTACCGAGATGCTCGTGGGATCCGTCTTGTGGGAGATTTGCAAGGCGAATAAGCTGCGTCGCTATCTCGCGGGAGGTGTTGATCTGGGGAACTATATAGGGGTGAGTAGAGTATTTCGAAGTGGTCCAGGGCCTACTAACTCCATGAGAGAATCTGAGCAGCGTATCCAATGCTGAAAAGTAGCATCGAGAACACCATCATCACATCGTCCACATTGAACTCGCGAGATGCTGCGAGCACCGCTCCATAATAGAAGATCAAAGCTGTTCAAGAGAGTCAGGAAAATAGCAAGCAAGTAAAAGAATGAGCGAGCTTACCGCTAGAAAATATGACCGTCGATTCTACCATACCGAAAAGCATGCCTGTATAAATGGCACGTTTCAACCCCAGCAACAAGCAGCGTGCGATCGCACTGGCTTGCTTGCGATGGAAATGGCCTTCCAATGTCAATGTTCTCACGGTACGGATCTCTGAAAAGGTCTCAGTAAAGACATCGGCTGCGAGATTGTTCGCGTCATTGCATCGTCTTTCCCACAGCCCATTTGTTCCCTCGAAGCCTCGAGTGATGACATAAATGACAGGCCCACAGGAAAGAGCAACGAGTGTCAACTTCCAGCAAACAATCAGACTCCAGATAATTGCCATAACGGTGATCGCCGCAGCAACAACCACGTAACCCGCAAATCGGCCTAGAAGGTTTCGCATGTCTTCTCCATTCTGATCGAGAGACGATGTGAGTCTGAGAGATCCGTTACCATCTTTCTCAAACCAGGCTCGTGGTTGATCGAGAATGCGTTGGAAGGCATTTTTCCTGAAGGAATCCAGCCAAGCCTCGCCGCAAAGCTCTAGGAAGTAATGCATGAAAAATGACGCAAGGCCATCCCCAAAAGACACACCCAGTACAGCAAGTGACCATGTCATTGCTAGGTGTTCACTGCTTTTTCCAGCATAGAAAGTTCCGAACAGCTGCGACAGACAATATGAGAATATTGGAGTTGCGCTTGCATGGGACAGTGCTGCGGCAAATCCCAGGAAGAGGATGATCCGCTGTCTGGTTGTCAAAGTCGATAGAATGGTGCCCATAATTTGCGACAGCGGAGTCATTCGTTCTTTCGGTATCTGCTGCTCTTTTGACTTCTTGCGGCGGCCATGTGGTTTCCGACTGCGCTTCGTTCGTGATGGGTCTGACCTGGAGCCCTGGTCATCAATATAAACCATTTCGACTTCTTCCGTTGGGATTTGGATAGCTGGTTCTTTCGAGTCCCACTGGGGACCAGGTCCTTCTGTCATGAAAGAAAGACTTTGACTCCAATCTCGCAAGGGCGATCTGGGGAACTCCCCATTCCTGACCACGTATTCCGAATTATTTCTCGGCGTCAAGTCCAGTGAGCTGAAGCGAAAAGTTGGGGGTCCATGGCCTTGAGCCCAGGAGGTCCTGGCTCGACGATGTCCAAGGAAAGCTGTTGGAGGTCTTAAGGTGTCCAAGCTCTCCGATGATGAGCTCTCCCACGGAATGTACATATCATCCAGAGCCCTCTTGTTCTGGTTCTTGGTTTCCAGACCACCGTCGACTTTCGCATGGAAGTACTTTTCGCTCCCCGGACTGCCCTCGACGGCATATCTGTAGCCAGATTTCACAATAGAACCCTGTTCAAGGATATACAAGAAATCCTGTTCCATGATTTGTGACATATCGTGGGTGATGATGATAGTCGTCTTTCCTTTCCGCCACTCACGGATTGCTTTGATCACTGCGACTCGGTTGGTGTGATCAAGAGCGCTGGTGGGTTCATCCAGGATCAGAATTGGGGTGTCACGTAATTTCGCTCTGGCAATTGCAACTCGCTGTCTTTGGCCACCACTCAAAAAGCTTCCACCCGGGCCAACGCATGTGTCGACTCCTTTAGGGAGACCATCGATAGTGTTCTCAAGCATGGCCAACTGAATAGGTTCTTTGACATCTTGCTTGGTGACGGTTGCATGGTCCTGGCGACCAAAGGCGATGTTCGTGAGCACAGACTCATTGAACAGAACACTCTTTTGCTCTAAAAGAGTGATGTTGTTGCGGATCCAGTTGATATCGAGTTGTTGCATTGGAGTGCCGTCAATTAGGATTTCTCCTGAGGTTGGCAAGTAGAACCGCATCAGCAGTTGGCTGAGGGTACTTTTACCAGAGCCGCTTTTCCCTATAACGAACGTCGTTTCGCCGGCGGGGAAGAAAAAGCTCGACGGCTTGAGCACGCATTGGTCAGGCTGACTAGGATATGAAAATGATACCTTCATGAATGTTCATTAGTGTCCGGATAAAAGCCAGAGAAGAATTGTAACTTACGTTTTTGACCTCGATATCACCTTCACAGTGTTCCGGATACCGGGTTCCTTTCGCCTCGCTCACAAATTTGTCTTCTCTCCGGCTCTGGATGATCGACTTCAAGGCGGCGCCAGCGACCTTTCCCTTTTCCATCACGATCATCTGCGGCAATACCTGTTCGATAGATTGAGCTGCGGTCAGGCAGGCCCAGAAAGTTCTGAGAACTTCCCCAGATGTGAGTTTCCCGGTGCGCGCAAGCGAACTGCCATACCAGAATCCCTGAACAAACATCCCGAACATCATCCAGCGGATGAAAGCAATTTGCAGAGAATTCAGCCGAGCTTGGCGAAGGTAGTGTGTGGCAGATCTCTCAATGCGCTCAGCAAAGTTGCGATGCTCGAAGGTCTGTCCATTGAGGCATTTGACCGTATCGATATTGGTGATAGCATTGTTGGCAACCTTGGAAGCCTCG